AGACAACTTAAGTCCTCCCACCTTCAGCAGTAAACCTAACGCAAGCCATTCACAGGCTAGCAAAAGAAAGACACGATTGAGGTAATCGTATCGCAAGCAACGATCTGCGAGGTCCGGCACGCCGTTGAGACATGCCAAAGTGCCGCTGGAATCATTCCGGACGCCTGGTCCCTGTTGGATAATCGATACTTACATGCGTAGGAATACGGGTATGGCGCCGTTCATTTCGCATGCTGACACGAGCGTCCCTAGTTCTTTGACCCACGGCAGAGTAGGTAGGTAATTACCAGAATGGACAGGTAGAGAGGACGATCGAGATCGCGCCGGCATGGTACTAGTCGATTGTGCATGGCAGGGCGAGAAGCCTCCTTGGAGATATTTCCAACAAGTTGCTCCGCCGGTTCACCCAAAAATCCACTACGTCCGAGTGAAAAGCGTGCGGCGGTCGGCCCGAAGCACGTGTAGGTAGATGAAATCGGGGTTCTAAGCGAGCAAGGCAGAGGAATGGTTTAAGAGTTAGGTGTCGGACCCGTTGATCTTCGAATTGCTAATGTGTCAGGCGTTGCGAGTCATTCTGTACCACTTATACGTACTCAGCTTCGTTGAAAGATCGTATGTAGGTATTATTAGGTGACGTGCGGTGGAACTTGTGCCGAGGCGGCAAGGGCCATATACATACACAGTATGTAGTATATCATCAGAAAAGCAATATAATAGTGTAATAGCAGGGTTGTTACCGGAGGAAAAGCAGTGTTGGTTAGCCTTGGGGTGGTGGCGTATGTATTAACGGGTTGATCGTTTATCTGCCCTTTATTTGCTGGTATCTCTATATGCTGCAGTGGTTTCGAAACACTCATCACATTGATGACAGTCAGGGGAGACGCACGTACTCGCATCTTCACATCAGCACCTGATACCTATTCCCACTCTAAGCCTTCCCTGCGGCGTGATGGTGCATTCGAATAGATATGTATCTAATACTATGCAGAATACTATGCAGAGAAGTACCTTCACGGTCAACAATGCAACCTTGTTAAATACATGTAAATACATGTAGTTAATACGTCTCAGTTATGCATAAATATTCAACCCCAGAATGCATCCTCCTTGCTCTAGTTGATACTTTGTGGCTTGTAGGTTTGCCTTTAGTGATATTGAGAAGACAACCTAAGTCTCAGGAGGCTCGACTAGGACGAATGAGACTTTGATCAATAAGATGAATAGGTAAAACTAAACATGCCAGCCTTCTTAGGGTGATCCTTGTAACCTCCTCAGCTTTACGCGAACCTACAGAAGTACCTATAGCCAAAGCCCCGATCATTGTACATATATGTACCATTCAGTCAGGTTGATAGATCCAGATCTTCAAGTTTTCCGAAAAACCCCCACATAACGAAAGTGACGAGTTAGAATAAAGCACGCCTCATTTACCCGGATGCATCATTGCTCGCCCGCAGATTCGAGAAATCTGTGCTGATGCGGAGAGGAACACAAGCATAAATCAGAAACTAGTAACGAACTGCAATGGTTGATGGCGCCCCCATGATGCTAATGATGGGCAGGTGACGCGTTGTTTGGGCCTCTTTTTCACATCTATACCTAATACCAGACCAAGAGACGGAGCGACGGAGCGTTTGTATTTTCCTCTCATGTGCTATTCGATACCGTACCCATCTTGCTTGAGTAGAGTAGTATTGGTCAAGGAGGGTATTGCGGCCTATGTAGTAGTCTAGCAAGGCCATGTTAGTTGGGCGCTCCAACACGATTGGTGCCCGGCGAATGACTATCACTGTCGCTTTGCTGACGAAGCAAAAAGACGAACGGTAATTAAGCAACCCATCTAAGGGTTTCGGTTGATCTACATTGGAGTTTAGATCTTGGGGCCACGACAAGGGGTGACACAACGTGGGGGGGAGGTTTTAGTCAATCAATAGATCTGAAAATATTTATATCTCAATATGTAGTTTGATTAAGACGCCGGTCCTGCAATTTTGCTGAAGAAAGGAAAGATCTCGCCAACACTTCTGTCGTGGTATTTACAACGTTAGATGTTAGAATGTGTACTTCTATTAAACTTAACTACTTAGGTATAGAAGTTATCTCTCTTATAATGTATAGGTAGGTAGTTATGTCATATAATAATGCCTTTAAAAAGGTTTCGGCTTCTTCTTACCAAGCATACATCGAGCTGGACTTGTTTGTTATATAATATTCCTTTTATAGTACGCCATTCGAAGCGCTAAAGTAACACCAACCAAGCCGATTGGGACATGAATAACGCGTTGTATTTATTTAAATATTGTAGTTGTTACTTCTGGCTAGCTTAACTTAGTTATGGAATAGTTCTTAAAAATGTTTCTATATATATTCATTACTTTATTTTTGTTTCTATTGATATTGTTAAAGCCTCTTATTTTGTAAAGAGGTACTTATAGTACCGTGAGTCTTAACGTTTTGTTGTTTAGTCAGTTGCTTAATATAGATGTACCAACTCAATCTCGACTTCGTATCTTTAATTAGAAAAAAGTCTTTAGATGCGCTGAAGTCGAAATTCAGTTTCCAACAGATTCAGATCGTCTTTTTTAGTTGTTCAGTTTCTTTATTTTCGGGAAATGAAGCGTAAATCAGAGTCCCAGGGTTCGGGAGGCTCTCCCCTAGCATATCCCTCCCGCCGCCGGGCTATTCGGGTCGCCCCATAAAGATCCACTACGCACCGCCCCGGAACCATTCCCAAGTGTTATAATTCCACTTTATAGGGCCACTTAAATCCACTCATCCCGCTAATGGGCTAAGGGCAACCAATTCTATTCCATTACCCCTTGTCACTTCACAGGGGTTACTCCCACACGTTATGCAGAGTCATCAGACCGTGATCATTCAACCCACTGTTCTGGTCTCTACTGCTTCTCCACATGTTTCCCTTTCTCCAGTCTTGTCTTCTTGCTCGAACTACTTGGGGTTTTTCTACATTGGCATCTTCTTTTTCGCTATATTGTCCGGAGCATTGTCCGTATGTGTCTAGACGCTTGCTGGAAGATGGAAGAATGCCCAACTTATAACGGCAGTTAGTTAATAAATACGTTGGTTAAATAAACAGTTGCTTATTAAGGAGTGCTCAGGCCGTTTCCCTGTTTGAAGCTGCTTCTGCTGAATTCGACATTTAGATATCACGTAGTTAAATACATAGATACTACTCATGTAGATACCTCTATGTATAGGTAGGTATCTATCTACTATGTAGGTAGGCATGTATATCTTTTAAAAAAACGTGCGCGCTGTATACATTGCAAAAATAACTATAATCTCAAGTCCCGATTCTTTCGGCAATCTCCCGTATACAAACGTCAACGTACATAAACATCCATTATGGCCCTGGTACTGTATGTACTTAGTGTACTAACAATTGCGAAGGCAAAAGGCAACGCCATCTAGCCCTGTCGTCTGTCCTGTTCTGTAGTTTGTACTTGGCTTTCTTCCCCCACTGCTACCAAGAGAGCATCGTATTGGTTGGGCACGTCAATCCATGTATTGTACTGTACAAGGCCTCAATAATGCCGCCATCCATAATCCATTAAAGCCCCCTGCTCCGAATACATTCGGGCCTGGGGGAATATCATAGCTTGCCAGGCTTGCCAGGCTTGCTCAAAGAGCTTTCCTTGCCTGTCCGCCCCCTTGACAGCAGCAGGACCCCTCGCAAGAAAAAACCCACACGGCCTCATTACTACCTAAGGTACTATGTAATCTACCTACCTACCTCACAAGCCCGCAAGCCCGCAAGCCCATTTCCATTTCCATACCCATACCCATACCTTCTGCTCCCCGCTGCATCAGTGCATACGCACATCTGTACCCTTTCGTACACACCCGCAAACCAAGGGAAGAATTCAGTCCTTGCTCATGTCTTAACACCCGAGCTTATCGTAGAAACGAGGGGCAGGGGCTCGTGAATTTTGCTTCGTGATCCTTGCCATCTTTGTGTTTGGTCTATTTTGTATTTGATTTGATTTTGATTTTTCCTTTCGCTCTACGGGACTACGACTACATACATGCAGTATTTTCTCCACCGGCCTCGCCTCTCGCCGTCGTCTAGATCCCTTTTCTTTTTCTCCAATTTCGCCATAAGTTTATTCACGAGAAGGGACCTTGATCAGTTCAACAAATAGCGGAAGAAACCCGCCGCTGTAATCTGTTTCTGCGCGAGCACCCAGTCTATAGATCCCACCCATCGCAATCGTTTGAGAGAGCCAGCTCTTTTTTTTTTCTGCTTATCTCCCCCTCCGAGGACCACTGCCGCTTGCCGCATGAGCTGTGTGGGAACCACATGGTTTTACGAGCCTTTGAACTCCGCTGCATCACTTATCCCTCGCATTAGACTGCCGGCATTCGTGGTGACGTCCAGCTTCAGCTAGTTAACCGCTTTTTTTTTCCCACCTAGATCCATAGCGCTCAATGGGCTCCCTCTAAATTGGTTGGTAAATACCTACATTTAATACGATTGTTTTCACAGTGCGTCCCAGGTTTGCGGTTCGAAATGTAATGGATGACGATGATATCCAGCCGCAAATACTAATCCTTTCTTATATTAAAGCTGACTTTACACCCTCACAACAACGACCTCTCGCTGATTCTGAGACAGCTTCGGAAACCAAGACGAAGCATACTACAAGCAAGTGAAAGTGGCCTCACTACTCGATGTCTCACAACTTTGTAAAAGTGAAAGAGGACATCCACCGTCCTTTACGCGTAACCTTTGCGACTAGTTGACGATCCCGTTTGAATCTAGGACGGGCCTGCTCAGCTCATTAAACCGAACACGCAAGGCTGTTCAGTTCTGACGCTACGGTATTGTCCTTTCTTTGTTGTTGGCCACTAGACCCATGCTCAGCTCGGCCTAGTTCGCAGCCGCCCACCAGGTTTCTGCATCTAAGTCTGATAGCACATTTATTTGATATCCCGTCCGCCCCGACCTGCCAGCCTGCCAACCTCCTTAGGAAGCAAGTTCCCGCTGCCGTTTCTAAAACAAAGAAAGACTATCCCGTCTGAGACTCAGCCCTCGGCGTGTGCGCTTTGGCTATTAGGCTAGCTTCTCCATATCGACAGTTTACTCCAACAGTCCAACTCTTCTTAAGCCCGTTTGAGTCTGTCAATACGAATGTACTACACTCTTATCTTGTCACAACTTCTTGTTTAACTACACCCTCGCACATATATCAAGCACGCGCTCCATCTCTTCTTGCCTTGTCACAACATATACTAGCTCTGACGGACAATCCTCCTTCGACTGCACTCAACCGGTGTTTTCATTTTTCTCATCATCGTTATCAAGTCCAGTCTCGTCTTACCGCTCCCATTTGTGAGACATACTTCGACACCGCATCTAGGTCGGGAATCGGCGACTTTGTCGAAAAGGATCTGACCGGACCTTAGAGACGAGCATTGCATGTGACGAACTGACGTCGTCAGTAGTGGAGGCTCTGCAAAGTTGGCATCACCCACTGTGAGACCGGGGCCGTGAAATATAATCTCTACCGTGAATAACTAAATTCGAATTTCGTCTACTTCTACTCCCTTCAACCATGGTGCAAGACGCCAACCAACCGAGGGAGCACTTCCCGTCTCGAACAGCCTATTGGCCCCATCAGGATAGATTTCCTATGGAACCAGTTCCCGACGAGGGTCGTTTCGCAGACTCGCAGCAAGATATACGGCGACCTCCTATGGTGAGTGAGATAGTTTTCCATTCTCTTGAATATGTAGTATTGAGCATGGTATAACTAGGCTATCGACAAAGCTTTACGCGAGTACTGCAATATCTCAGCAGAATTCTATGTTGTTATACCCGTCATAGAAGGAAAGCCCCATATCTTCACAGCACCCAACATACCGGGGATAAATATATCAAGGTTCTTGGATGTTGAAGCGCTCAGTCGTGAACTACAACGTGTTCAGGCCGGTAAGTCCGATTCCGATTCCGATCAGACCTTTCAAATGCGCTCAACTAAGGCTTGCCGGTTCAGCTTCGAACCCCGCCGCATATACCGAACCAGAATTTGGTTTCGAAACAGAAATTAACCGCTACTCCATGGACCCTGTCAGGCGTTGGACACAGGACCGTCGATATGGGCAACCTATGAGTTTAACAAGTTTCGAAGATGATGGAAACTACAAAGCTCGCAAACGCCCAAGGGCAAGTATGATACGGCGCGAGCCCGAGAACTACGATGACGAGCCTACACCATCATCAAGCCCCTCGAAAAGAGGCCTTACAATCCGCGACGACAAGGCCGTTTGGGCATTTTATGAAGAGCGATTTAAGACTATTCAGCAGAGCGCATGCAAACTAATTGCTAAAGCTTGGGTGAAGGCGGTTGAGCCGAAGAAGCAGTCCACACACCCTTATACGGGTGCAGATGAAAAAGCACCTGATTGGTGGCCAAAGCCTTGGGGGCCAAATCGAGAACACAAGGTTAGGCACAAGGAGCCTGACCATTTGTACAAACGCGGTAAGGCGGCTACAAACCGGTTACTGTGTAAAGGATTACTTACGCTGACCAATGACCAATCGTCTTATTAGAACGGGTTCATCTGCTTAACCATATCCTTCGGATGATAGTCGAGCCGAATCATGCTCAACATCCAAGTATCCAAAAGCTTTATCTCAATGTGAGTAAGCTAGAAGAGGTTACTAATGAGGCCCTATCGTCATTCTTCACCGACAAGGACAACCCCAGCAATCTGCAAAAGAAGCCTTACTTGAAAGAAATCTTTAAGGTTGCTCATCTCGAGGAACGATATAAAGATGGCCAAATCGGTAAGTAGTCCCAAGTCGGTTGTTGTATAGGTTGTTGTATATCAAGTCAATGCTGATCATGATTATAGATGGTTCAACTGTTGTATACGTGATGCCCAACGACCGTGTTAGTCAGGGGTATGTATCGGACACCGAGGATGTAACACCTGGGAGAGATGAGGGCGAACATAATCCAGCTCCCAATTCCTCCAGTTCATCCCCCCAGAGAACAAATATGCCGCCGACGCTCATGACCCAGTCGCATACTCATAGCACTGAGCCAAGTCCCACCACCCAAATACCTAGCGACACATTCGTAGGGGAGATGCCAGTTCGCAACACTCAATACCCCCAACCGGTTTTAGGCAGTGAAATAGGTACTGAGCGGCAGACTTTTGTGGAAGCGCCTAGTATGCCTAGTCAAGCTCCTCTCCATCCATCTACCAACCTAGGCCTTCACGATATGTATACCAGTCCTCATGATTCAAGTAGAAGATCGTCCATGTTCACAACACCGTCGGAATACGCGAGCCCAGCAACTCCAACGATATATCAACAATGGCAAACCGGCTCTGCAGCACCTAGTAATCCGTCAGCTTATACCTTCCCACAGCAGCCCAGCAACGCTCATCAACCTTTTGTCGGCCACGCAGGGGTCCCAATGACTCACAGTCAACAGTATATGAATACATCGTTTGACGGTCTACCAAGGAGCCATAATACACAACAAGACGGAATGATTCGTTCGCTCCCCCAACCCACCTTCACCAATTATATGCCTCACGAGCCAGGATCCCTTCCGGGGTCAGCTATAAAGACTGACCCTCTTCCGCGGCACCCTACACAATAGGTTCGCCGCCAGTCGACGGGGAACTATAGCCTTGTCAACCAGCTGCGTTGGCGGCTGTCCTCGTCATATTGAAGAGTCCTATCTAATGTCTGCGCCCCAACTTAAGGCAACTCATTAACTGTATATGTTTTGTGAACACCCCTGCATACGTGCGGCGTAGCCCTCGATGGGTTAGTTGTTCACCTTAGCTCGAGAGCTGAGAGTCTTGGCATTAAGTCAACGCGAATTGTTGACCGGCTGCCTCGAGACTCAATACAGAGTAGCCTTTGAGGACGACGGAGGCCGGATGCTATGGCATCCAAAGTACTCTAACGTCCTTCTTGAATACCTATCGATTTATTTTAATCAGGGGGCGGTAATTATTATCTTACTACAAACCGCCATCGAATTCTTCTTCTCACATGCGCATATGAGGCGGAGGCAATTCGTCTTTTTTAATTTCACAGAGCCTCGGCGTGACCGGTCTAACAGTTTGCATCTATTTATTTTGTTCGCGTTCCAAGCTTGGCCAGTCCTTGTCACATTTGTATACCGTCGATACCTAACTCTGCGAGCGTCATGCGATAACACGAAACTTACCGATGGGACGAAAAACACGGGGCCGGCAATGGTGAAGTATTATCAAAGGTGCGGCAACCAATCAACGGGGAGAGATTACTCCAAAGGGCGGCTTCGATGTCTTCTCATAAACCACTATATCATAAACACGCGAGTTGGCTACGTCTTATTGCATAGCTTGGGTGGCATACGATCTACACGAGTCGAAAGGGAGACCTAACGGGGCGGTTCTTTTATACCTGCACGCTTCACCCGCCAGACTCAGTCTTTGATCGCATGGTGAAGCAAGTAGGGGTTATTCTACCCTAGCTTAAGAGATGGTGGTGGTGGTCGTCTGTTCTTGTTCCCGTGTTACTACATTTCTCTTTCGAGCTGAGGTTATGTCGTCACGATTATTGGGTTTTATTCTTTTTTTGTGTTTTCACGTATAGCTAGTTCATGCTGGAGGTTACCCTACCCTTCACTCTCCTTTCGTTTATTTTATTTTATTTTATGCTGTATTGATATTCTGAATCGACGAGCGAGCAAAGTGGGAGGACGGAAGAGGGCGAAAATGGAGGATCCAGCTTGGTAAGCGGTACCGAGGCTGGGCTGGCAGCTGGCTCGTTTGGTAAATTGTTTTGTGCTCTGTTTTAGACAGTTCCGGTTGAGCGGAAGGAACCTAGGTGGCTTGGGACATGTGATCTACGTGTTGACGTCTATGTAGACATTCCTTGCTAGGATGTAATTGACACGAGTGAGCACTTAAAGGAGTAATCCTTCTACGCTATACTATCTTCAGACTCTAAATTTTGTTCCCCTTCCGTATCGAGATATATAGTAAGACGATGTTATGGCCTATAGCCGAGCTCAATGGGATCTTGATTCGACCGGTGTAGAACTCAGTATCCAATATGATTTAAGTGCTTACTTCCTACGGTGTCAACCATGTTTAGGGTTAGTATGGACAGGCTAATTGCTCTTTAAGAAGCTAGTACAATGCAGCTAGGTAAATCTGCAGACTCTTTCGTCCTCCAACAGCAACGATGGTGAGAATAATTGGATGCCATAAACGGACAGTTTAGCTATAATAGGCATCTATATCCTCAGGTTCCACTCACACGGGTAAAGGCCCGTCCCGCTTTTTGGTTCCCGTTGTTGGATGTGGAAGTACGGATCCGTAACATGTAGTCTACTTAATGCTTAATGCATCATTATCAGATAAAGTTTTAAGAGATCTCCTTTATAATATACATATTCGATCCGAGCCAGTACCAACAAATGCACAATACACGTTCAGATTACGTTATAATAGTGCATCGTGCATATGTACGGTACGCACACAAACCTGAAGCTGTCTCTTCTGGATCTCCAAATCTATAGATATCTGAAAAGTGACACGAAAAAAAGAGACCGCTGACCCGCTGACCCGACGAAAAACGCAAAACCCCTGACCTGAATTGTACCATCTGATAGTGTACAATGTTACCTAGGAGCCGACACCGAACCAATCCGGGCTCATTGTTCAATGTGTCCACCAGACCCAAGTAAAAACGTGTATGCCAAGACTATAAAACATGGTCGAGGTATTCCCAAACGACGAGCGGTGAAAGGGAAAAAAAAATAATAATAAGGATTACGTACGTAGATCTAAGAGGCAATCCAAACTTCTACTATTAACTACCGGGTAGGTAATAATGTGGCTATAAGGAAATCGGACCAGTCTCAAAAAGGATTACTCACACATAACGCAAGATAACGCAGGACCGGCAGTAGATGATGCATAACATAGCGAAAAATAAGGATCGGTGGTATGAATCTCCTTATGTAGATATCCTACAGGTCATATCTCATAAGAGCAGGGGGGAAGGGGGGGAGGAAACGACATGGTTGGTGACAGCTCCATCGGAACAGCGTTGAGGAAAAACGATCGTCACCTCTTTTCTCGTTCTTCTTCTCCCGCAACGCGCAACCTGCTCTTTCGGCTTCATACGTCGGCGCTTGGCCTGGCCTGGATCGGGCCGCCATATGGTAGGTCGCTTTGACGCTGACCCGCATATGGATAGATCTATGGTATGCCCGCAACCTAGTACTTTGCCGGATCGTGTATGTATATGGAGTGTCGATTATCTGCGGGCTTGCGTCAGACTGACTAGATCCAGCTGCGGATTCGGTACCTGGATAGGAAAACCCTTCACCCACCCCTTGCGCTTTTCGTCTTTGTCCTAACGTCATAATCAGCAGAGATTTAGCAGCGAAGGAAGCTTTAGGGCAGAATGCAAAAGGAGAGAATAAACGATGTTATTTCCATCTACCTACTCCATTCTGATTCAACCTTCGCCACGAGGCTGTCGTTGGACCCGGATATCGTGACGTAACACTACATTCGTAAATACCTACATCGATGGAGGGTCGTTGGCCTGCTAATCCCGGAGACCAGGTTATGTGCCACAAAGAGCAAAAAAAGAGTCCAGAGTTCCCTTTGGGCTGGGTATATTTGTTGCCGGTTCCTATCGGCTCTGGACTTGCCCTTTACTGAATAGGGGCTTTTCTAGAACACGTAGAAAAGTCAATTCAGGGTTTCAAGTAGATTTAGAGATGCCAATGTATTGTACATATCCGCTCGATTCGGGTGTTCCCAAAGGAAACCCCCTGTTTTCTTTTCACAGTTCGAGGCGACAAGCGCTAGTGCTGTCCATGCTCTCTCCCTCGCTTCGTACTAATACTCGTCATCCTAGTCCCGTACTTAATCTAGATTACCATATGCATGGGATAGGTATGGATTATTCACTCCATAGGTCCATCCATATTCCACCCGTACCTTATCCCCGATTTCCCTTTTCACATTTCTGACCCCCACGCTATCCGTAAGCATCAACCGATTTGGAAGATCAGCACTGTTAGACACACAGGAAACTGCACGTCTTTCAACAACCGGTAATCGACTTAGCTCGTCCAGTTGCAGGATCCGCCAAGGCCTGTCAAGGGGAGACTTCGCCCCGACATATGCAGCATACCCAGTCCCGTGGCTGGCCGAGAGTCCGTGGCCTCGTTTGAGGGTTGCATACAGCTGCATAGACCGATCTTAGAGCATGTAATGTAGCATGGAGCTACGCGAGATACCATTTCCCCGGGGATTGTTTGCAGAAGGATGCATATGGAACCCTTGTCAGTCGCCGTCCATCAATGCCACATCCCTTTTCTTTTAAGAATCTAGAATATCGCCTTTCTCGCGGAGTCTTGCCCTACGGGAAATGGCATCAAGCTCGTCAGACCGTGTATAAACCTTCACATTTACCTTCCCCTTTACAGTCAATACTAAGAAATATGTAGGTTAGTCACCCGTGTTTGCAATGTTAAAATGCAACCTGCTCTTTCATGAATTCCTTAATGAACGTATTAGAGCATTACTACGATAGTCAAATGCTCCCTCTATGCTATTTCTTTCACACGTGCCTCGGCGCCCTGTAGAGTTACAAATTATCCATTAATTTTTGAAACCCCTTACTATTACTTCGTACAAGACTTAATAACATAACGGTTTCGTATATTACCTCCGATTTCTTCGCATACTATTCTATAATAAACTAATTAGATTATTATTAATCTATATTTTCGAAACTTTAGTATTAGTGTCTTAGAGTAGTGGTACTAATAGCGGTATCTACCCAGCAAAGTATTGTACATAGCAACACAAACCATATACCCGTAACACATATAAGGCCCCTCCCCATAGGTCTACCTAAATGAGTTCCAAACCATCGGGTCTCGCTATGGAAATCACGATCACCGTGCCCAGGTGGAATATGATGGCCTAGAGTTCCCCGGGGATTAATTATTCTCGTCAAACAAATTTTATAATATTTTAGTATCCAACGACATAATTTAATACCTACAATAAAGGTAATACTCCTATATTAAATCCCCATTTGCGATGTCCGGGTAAATGAAGAAATAATATCATTTCAAAGACGCACAGCTCCTTATAGTAATTACTTCTAAAATATTGAGGTATTAAAATTTAAATATTATATTATATGCAGCCGTACGAACCGTAGACTAACATTATTTCAGGGGTCGAATCGTATACAAAACGCTTTGAGGTCTGGGAACCTTAGTCCCAATCCAAACTGATTCAGGCTCACTTTCCCTTGGTCGCCCTTATTTGGCTTGGAGCTATAGCGGAGGTGATCCTCTTGCGCATGGAGGAATGCCTAATGAGCCACTCTTAATGCTGTTCTCACTAACAACACGTTTAAAGCTGCGTTGGCGATAAGACCATCAGCCCTAGATGCCGCCCTCGGGTTCATCCGTGCCCCCTCGATCTAGGGACTCGCCGGCAAACTCCTACTTTGCGAAGAAATCAACCCGATGAGGCATCTCGACATACGAGCTACATGCTAGAGTAGGAAAGAGGGATGTATTTACTCCATAGTAATACGGCACGCTCCGTCTCATCATATGATGGGTTCATCTATATCTATATATGTATCCAAGGACTCTCCTGTTGGGTTCTAGCTCTCGTACGAGTCAGGCTTGGCAAGGGGTCATGCTTATAGATGGAAAAGGCAATGAGATAATAGCTCTGGCCGAGTTAAGCGCACTGAGAGACACGTCGAAGAATAGGTCTTTATTAGGAGATCCAACCACGATAGTAATGTCTCTTTGAACCTTCGTAAAACCCCTTGCGTAACTCGGAGCTAAAGTTAGTCTTTGGTATGGCATATGATATCGTACGACACACTCGCCACGTACATATCTAGGGTAGGATATGAACGGGGCTAACGCATAGACCAACGTATCAGTTTCGTTAGGTACACTACATACAGACCTTTAATACATTCGACATACAAAGTTTTACATTCTCGATAGCCTGTACCTACTCAACCTCTTTAAACCTCATTCCCTGACGGGATAAGCGTCAAAAGACATCTCTTCCCACGAGGTTGGGTAGAGATTAACAGGTCGGACATTTCCATATCCTCGGCAGTCATAGACGGGTCAGGCACGGTAGTATACCGTGAGTAGACGTCTCTGAGCAGGGTCTTCATCTCCGCAAGCGCCAAACTATTGACGTTGGTTATTTTCGACATGCATTAAAAATCATGTTCAGTTGTGACTTACTGCTTTCCAATACAGCCTCTACCACCACTAGCAAAAGCGAAGAATAGTCGCTTTCTCTCCAACTCTCCTGCCTCCTGTAACCAGCGATCCGGATCAAATGTGTCGGGCTGCGGAAATACAGTTTCGTCGATGCGGTGAGTCGAGTACGCCTGGCAACTCACTATTGTTCCCTCGGGGATAAGATAGCCATCGATGGTACGGCCGCCAGAAGGGACGTATCGCGGGAGGGACATGGGAATTGCCGGGAAGCAACGAAGTCCCTCCATGACGACGGCGTCGAGGTAAGGTAGTTTATCAAACGCTACTTCGGGGTTGGCACGGAGCTCTTCCTGGAGACGCTGCTGGACATAGAATGATCTAGGCTGCGAGATTTCCCACATTAGGAAACATAAAGCATCGCCAGTGGTATCTATTCCCGCAGTCATGTGATCGAGACACTCGGCCGCCATGTCAATGTGCTCCATCTCATAACTCTTGTCCTGCATACGACTTAGCAGAGTAAACTGCGCGGGGCCAGTCTTCGCACTCGCGGACATGACTAAGTCATCTGCCAGAGGTGTCTGACGCGGCTTAGCAAACAAAGATAGAGCATTGCCGATTATCTTGTGTAGGCCTGGGTTATAGTACTCGACTAGACGATCTGGCTTCTATTAGCGTAAACATGAGATATATGGGCTTAGGACAAGACTGACTCTGAAGGCTATCATCAAGAGTCACCTGCTTCATAATTTCTTCATCCTCTGGGTTCCGGAGCGAGTCCGATCCGTAGGGATGAAAAAGATGATGTGTTACGCAATCAAACGCATAGTCGTGTAGACCTAGTTACCTCATTAGTGAGCCCCTGAGAGTTGACCAAGGTTGGCATACAAAGCTAACGTCTCATTAGCATACCATTTACTACCATATGTCTAAATTAACTCACAAATATATCAATACTTCCACCAGCAAACCTTGAACACCTCTCAACAAATCGTTTTGACCGTTCTCTGATCCCGTGGAGCGATTCTGATTTTAGGATATTGGTATTGGCGTATCGGTCTGCAAGGATTCTTTTCCTTCTGGAATGCTGAATATCTATTAGGGTATCTTTTCATACATCTGGTGGTTGATTGGGGACTAACATCCTCCCTCTTCAGGGTACTAAACATAGTCCTGTGCGATATTTTGTAAGCTTGTCTATCCATTACGACATCTGACCGAGGAGTTTTCAACCAGCTTTTACTTGAATCTGTCTCTTACCTTCGGCCATACATTGTAAATAGATTATAAAATTCCGTCTTATCGTATCCGCTTCCACCCGAACCGTAAATTTCTTTCACGCCTTCGAGGGACGCGAACGATACTTCATTCGGGGCTATCCGGACAACAGGACCATATTTCTGGTGGAGGCTATGGACATATCTCGTGCGATGGGCATGAAATTCATGATACTTAAGAACCCATGAACTGAATAATGAGATCCTTGGACCAGGAAGGGTTCGTAGAGGAGAAGCGATACATTTCCAGACATATAAGATGCTCAATGCAAAGCACGCGACAGCTAGTAGGAAGGGATTAAGGAGTAGCATTTTGGAATGATGCCCTAGACTATCCCCCTAGGTAGCAATACGAGTGTAGGTAGGTATATATAAATATATATAAGTCTTAGATCGATATGGGCTAAGTATAAGAGCTAGGTAGGCACCTAAGGAAATACACCTTGCCATACATAGGTACGTTCTTCAAAAAATTACGAAAAAAGAGGTTAGATAATTCGAGCTGATATCCTTTATCAAGTAGGTACCACATAATAAGGTTACCTACCTCATGGACATAGCTCGGGTTACTTATCTCTCGTGGGGTTAACAATGATGATTAAGAGAGGGGCATTGGTGAGGAGGAGAGGATCACTGTCATGTGATAGGAACCCAAGTTGCGAGGAGCGGAGCAATAAGTCGTAAATAAGCTTCAATAGCCGGATTCAAAGTCGACTAACACCCAGTCAAAGCTCCTCCTTGCCCTTTATATCCGCACCACCGGTGCTCTGCCCACCTCCGCTTCCGCTTCCGAATATACTACCAAGCCAAGACAGGCCGGGAATCGCCATCTTCGCCGACGGAGGATAGGGTTTTCCGTCGATCGTGACTTGCGGCTGGCAAGTGCACCATTGCTTCTCCGGAACCCCCGCAAGAGCCGACGGGATATGCGAACCGCATCCCCGCCATGATTTTCCTGCTACGATAACGTTAATAAGTTGAACTCAACACCACTAAACTTGTAGCTAAAGCTACCTAAAGGTCTAAGTATATATTGAGGAATTACTAACAGCAAGTTGGACACGTTGCGCCAAAACACATCTTTAATATAGACTAGCTGCGAGTAATGAAATGGCGACTAGGTATGTTGGATTTCTATGCTTGCTTTGGGATTGAAAATGGTCGGGTTGGAGAAATGATTAGAAGAGGGGAAGGTCAGGTATTAGATTTTCTAGCAGCACTTTTAATACGTCCTATCGGTGTTCACCTGAGGTAGGTATTCGGCGATGATAATCTAAGGGATGTGTCCGAACTCTGTGCGATCGCCGACCTCGAAGTAGCGAGCGCGGCTTAGAGTGGCACCTCATCCGATAGCTCCATTTTACTTTTTATTTCTCCATGTCGGGAATTATTTAATATTTTGCAAAAATTTGACAACCGTGTTGACGAGCCATTCTTCTGCCTCCGGCTCCTCTACCCTATGGCCGGCGCCCGGGATCGTACCCGAGAGTTCACTGGCAATGCCTGGCCGGCAAAGTGTCCTCCAGTGCTGAACAAGCGCATCTTTATCGATAGAACTTGGCACATATTCATCGTTCCCCGAGTGAAGTATAAGGATTGGCTTGTCTACTCGCTTCCAGTAAGGCTCAACTATGTCATCCGGGAGCCCGGGATCGAAGTAATTGTCTTCACCACTATTAAGTACCTAAGTCAGATATAGGAGTCATAAAGAGTTGAATGTTGGGTAATAAATTACGTACTCGGCTGCCCCAAGCGCGTACCACCGCGACGCAGATATCGGCGTATCATGGAAGGAAGATGAGAGACTCTCAGGCAGCATACGCTCATGGCCCCTACCAGAAGTGATGAGCTGTTTGGCAATCTCGAGACTTTCCTCTAATTTAGATTCACCCATTTCCGACGCTATCGCGGCGCGATCCGATACTGGTGCCTGGAGAATGTACCCTTCGACCGGCGCGGCATTATGGGATGGCGATGTATACTCCATTAAATCTTGGCTTCCGGTGGAATGGCCTAATAAGACTATACGTTCCTTTCCTATACTCCGCAGATACTTGACGAGAGCCGATATATCAGCTACATCGCTAGCTAGACGGCCAAATCCAAAGCCCGAGAAAGAGCTGGACAACCTAAACTCAAAGACGGAATAGCTTAGGTCATGTTCTGATTCTAGACGCTTAGCTATCGCCCTGGGATATGGCACTGTGTGAGGTCCATCACCAAGCCCACCGACGAACACGAGAGCATTTCTTGCGTTAGTGAGGCCGACTTCATAAGCACAGGCGTGGGCTGTTGGAGATTCGAATGGGTGCACCGTCGTAGTGAAGGTTCCCGACGGCGCCATCTTCTTTCCCCGTTAACAGGTACCTAATTAGATTCAATCTGTTCTCTCGAAGGACGTGCGACTATAAGTTTTATAAAATTTTTGGTTGAGATGAATTAGGTACCTGACTTGTTAATTCATTAATGTGCAAAAATCCCCAAGTGTTGAAGTCACCTGAGGGGATATGCATGAATGCATAAATGCATAATGCGCAATTGGATAGAAGCATACCTAAGGTTAGGAGGTACACGCACTTTCTACGTCAGTCAGTCAATGGCCTACAATTATTTCAAACGAGGAAACATCGAAACATCGACCAATTTCCTCCATAGTACAACTTTAAAACTCATCGCATCATTTTGTAGCGAAAGCTACCTAAGCTTAAGACTGAAATGATGAATATATCCTAAGATGGCTAGTAACTCCTCCGCTAGGAATGATTTCTTCAAAGAGGTTTGTTTGATGATCCCTTGTCAAATTCACCCGTTAGTGATGGGAGCGTATTACTAATCTTAAGGCAGCTCAAACCACGATGCGTCGCCATCAACAATTTAACTGTTCGTGCATCCGACAAGAGAGCGAGTGCTAAGGACCTATTAAACGTGGTCGAAGACCTCTCTACCGTCCTGGACCGACAGGTTTCTGTCGACGAGACTGTTTTGGATGAGAAGCTTGCTGATTATATCTTTTTCCCACTCTCCAATATTTTACGAAATCAGCAGCAATATCCTATCCGATTGACAGAGCTAACCATTAAATGCCTGCGAATATTGATTCATTATGGATGGAAATCTAAGGTCCCCAATGAACTCTCTCAGCAGCTCTTCATATTTCTTACTTTCATCATTGGTGGTGTTCCCGGCCAGGAGAAGAAAAATGAGATTCCAGAGGAGACAGAACTGGAAGCGCTGAGGGCATTAACCGAGCTAATCAAAGCTGCCGGTTCCTCATCAGCTAGCGCGGCCGCACTGGTAGATACAAATGCGATACCTGCCTTGGGTCATGCTATCACCGTCATACTAGACAGTATTACCGATGGTAAAACGTCCGATATTAGACTCGAGGGGCTGGGAGCACTGGATGCGCTTCTAGTCGCAATTAGGGATCAAGCCGCCTTAGCTACTTTTCTACCCGGAATAGTATCGTCTCTCAGCAGGCTACTCACGCCTCCCGTGGCATATAAATATCAGAGAAGAGTCTTAATTGGCGGGATCAATGCTATGAAGGATGTACTCACTAGGGTCTTGGGAGATATAAAAACTATGGGGATAATGAAGAAGCAAGCGAGAAATGAAAATGAAAACACTAGCGAGGGTAAGATTCTGTCGCCATCGTGGTTGAAGGCAACTACATCTAAGGTGAAGCTTGCTCTTGCAAGTGTGCTAAAGTTACGGAATGCCGATTCCGACGATATACGGGTTGCTCTGGAGAGGCTGTGCATCAGCCTTCTAGACGAGTGTCATGAATCTCTTGCGGAATGTGTACCCATACTTGTTGAGAGCGCTATGATATTAACAAATGAAGAAAAAGAGAAATCGGTATTCGAGACGAGTCTAGTTGATCTAGCTAGGATCTATCCAGAACTGGGAGACACAATCAAGACTACGGTATACAACTGGGTTACGAGTCTTCCTCGGATGGTACAATCCAGCGACGACAAGATCAAACAGCAAGCGATTCGAAACATCATCAAAGGCCAGCATTTTATCACAACTCTTCAGATCGACTCATCTATTCTAGACGACTCGCTAGCCGCCTCCTTGAGGGATAGTACTACTGCACTTGTCCTAGCATCGAAATCGAGCGGAATGTCGGAGCTTCCTTCAAATGCTATTGAGTTGAATATGGATCTGGTTAGACAGGATGGACCTAATAGCTTCCCGCCTATTCTGATCTCACAAGAAACCGAGAAGTCTACGCGAATGGCGCTCCTTGACTTGCTATCAAAATTCGGGTCTATCTCTCAGCAAGGTAAATTGGCTGACGATTTATTAACCTACGCCCGAGATTCTACGGGGCCTAGTCAGGTGGTCTCGTATTGGCTAGCTTTCGAGTTGATCAAGTCGAGCCTATCTCAATCCTCGGATTTGGATGACTTTCTTGATTTAAGCCCAGAAACTGGTATAACAGACGAGAGCGAACCAATTTTCCAAGACCTCTACTCTTTCTCCGTTGCAATCCTAGATTCCCAAGCCGAGGCAGAAGAGGTTGACTGGCGACTACAAGCTCTTGCTTTGGAAGTTACGACTTTTGCCGCTTCGAGGATGAAAGAAAGCTTTCGTCCAGAGCTTATTGATGTGTTGTACCCTATCACGACGTTTCTAGGTTCTGGGGTGCCCCAATTACGGGATCATGCGATCATCAGTCTCAATAGCATTGCAACGGCATGCGGATACCCCAATGTCACTGACCTAATCATTGAGAATGTTGACTACATGGTTAATTCGGTATCCTTACGTTTGAACACATTTGATATATCCCCCACATCAACCCAAGTCTTACGAATGATGATAAGGCTTACCGGTCCAAAATTAATACCGTATCTCGACGATGTAATCGCATCGATTTTCGCGGCTCTCGACAACTATCACGGATACCCTTTATTTGCCGAGAGCTTATTTAGCGTCCTTACAGAAGTGGTACAGCAAGGGTCACACTCCGACCATTTACTTTTAGATGAAGTGAAGTCATCAACCAAAGATCACAAGAAAACTTTACAAGCCATGGTTACAACCGAAGACATGTGCAATATTCTCTCTAGCCGGATAGAAAGACAAGAAAAGCGGCGGCTAGAAGAACTTCACCGCGAAAATATCGGGTCTCATCCAGAACGCCCCTGGAAAGAGATAAATCCAACCGTGCCCGAGAATGATGAAGATGACGAAGAGCCTAGTACCGAAGTCGAAAAGCCGCCACCCCCTAAAACACCCAGCTTCAAGATTCTTACTCGTATCACCGACCTAACGCAACATTACCTAACATCCCCCTCGCCAACGCTGCGAAAATCGCTTCTGGAACTTCTAGCTACCGTCTGCCCAGCGCTCTCGCCTGACGAGGACGCATTTTTACCTCTTGTCAATTCAGTCTGGCCTGTTCTAGTTGAGAGGTTATATGATTCTGAATCATTCGTTGTGATCTCGGCCTGCAAAGCTTTGGCTACGCTTTGCCGGAGCGCCGGCGATTTCCTTAACACGAGGATCAAGACGGAATGGTGGGATAATCTTGGTGGGTGGTGTAGGAAAGTTAAGGCGGACGCGACCCAATCGAGCAGTAAAGCAAAAGTGAAAACTAGAGCGAATCGTGATGATCAGCAAGACCGCAATATCCTAATACCAAGCCGTTCTGGCGACGATGTCGGGGGCAAAGAGTCGAGCACAGTAGTCGGAGCCGTGTCAAGCACGGGCCTAGGCAGATTTACTCAAGCCGCGCAGGTCTGGGAGGCAGTGCAAGAGCTTCTCGTCGCCATCGTGTCATTTGTTCAGATTGATGACGACGTATTCGATCAGATCCTCGTATTGCTCGCAGATACACTACCTACGAATCCTGAAGCTAAGGCTGCGCTGGAGGCTGTAGATCCCGACGCAGTGTGGCTCTTGATGTATGAGCGAGGCATGGTTGAACCAATGGAAAAGCCTATCTTGCCTGGAGTAGCTTTTGTTGATCCATGGGGTGCGTAGGAGCAATGGGAATAGCCAAAGCCAGGCGAAGGCACGAAATTCTTTTTTTGGCTGACTCTAGCACCGGTGTACGCATGCATACAGTAGACATAGAGGATTTAGGAAATTGACTCGATTCTAAAGGCCCAATTGCATCTTCTATCTCACAAACTATTGCAAGCCTAATGTAGGTACTTTTCGACATCACAGTAGGACATGTCACCTGACACGGGAAAGAGTCACATAGCACTGTCTACTTATATCCAACCCTATTCGATGAATTACGGACGCCACCGAACAGCAATCTAATGCCGTAGCTATCCTCCAGAGATGTCTGCCTATCGTCGCGTGACGTGTGCCCCGGAGCTCTGTCCCTCCTCTTGTAGAAGCGGTTTAACATCCAAGTACCTATCAGGTCGTCGGCTTACAGCTATACAATTGTTCAAGGTCAGCTCGTAAATTTCGGGCCTTGTGTCATGTATTTTTAAACCATAGGTTGATATAGGTTCATGTGTATAAGATAAATACTTAGGTACATAATCCTTGCTACTATATAAAAGGAGGACAATCCGCAGTCTTCTTGACCGTTTCCATTAGGTAACACGTCCACCAACAAGCCGTTGTCGGTTCGCTTCAGAAGAGCCGCAAAGTGACATCATATACCAAGGCAGCACATGTGTTAGGTACCTATGTAAGATATTATCGTATGTATATCAATGGCAATGGAATCATTCAGCTTCAACGGGCCCTCGATCAAAAGACGAGTTGCTTTGAATGAACGCTTATCGTTTGAGAGATAGATAATCCGTGCTGGCCATATTGCATACTAAAAACCAACCGATAAAACAATAATCTTGATCCTTACCCCTAGGTAGGTAGATCGCGTCCTTTTTAAGATATCTTGAGTACCTATCTTGGGTAAGAACAGCAGCAAACAAGCTTGAAAGAAATCTGCAAGGGAAACTACCCAAAGCAGCGTTATTAGGTACGCGCATCTGTAAGGAAGAGAACCCTTAAGGCAAACAAACATCATTGAAAACAAGGAGCTCTCTTGGATGTCTCTATTATACTCGAGAGTCTATGCTTACTTGGCTTACTACGGAGTTAAAAATCTAGCTGATGATAAGAAATGTAGTAAATATAAAACTTATCTAGGTACCTACCAGAAACCAATTCAGGTTGTATTCTGTTGTACAGCTTCGACGCGGCTCGATACATACAGACATGCAAGCCGGGGTTCCCCAAGCACCACAGCCAGGGTAGGGCAGGGTACCTAGGGTAGTAGGGGGGAAACGTACATCGTGTAATTGGCTCTGAGCAGCTCTCTTATCGGCCTAAAATTATAGAATTTGGAGCTGAACGAGGATATACACGTAGGTACTGTGTAGACAGAGCAGCGCTCCTAAAGCAGGCCCAATTCTCGACATCGTATATGTAGCCAGCCGAAAGATACGTGATTCTTAAGGCTAATACCTACTGCACATCCCAATCGTAACAGGACTACATTATAATCAACAATAAAGAGTAGGTAGAAAGAAGACAGGAGCTCTAGGTACATTGGGATCCTGCTGGTATGACAGCAGCCTGCTTACATTTTTACCTGGTCGCGTGCCATTGCCATGCAACTTCGCCGGTACACAGCAGCGGCAGCACGCAGTTCAGCCGGCCCATATCTCTCGCGTCGTCAGCATGGATGGACAGGGAGCAAGGCTATCGGATGCCCTCCATCATTAGGTAGTCTTGTAATACCGTAGTAAAAATGAAAGCTAACAGTGTCAAGCTTTCTTATCGTGTTACACATCGTACATCTCCCGCATTATTATCGACAGCGATAAATGCAGCTAGGCTAGGCCTACCTATTCATCCCTCAGCGCCATCAGGATTCCGTCTTGTCCTATAACAAGGGTCTAGACCGGTAGATCCCTACATCCAGTTTATATATAGGGAACCTGGATATCCCGCTGCCAATTGATATGCCTAGCTGACTTTTCGCGATTTTCCCTCTTCCCCCCTCCTCATATTCCAAGAAAGGCTCGTGCTACCTACCAACTAATGAATGGATTAAACCGTAAGGGGGAAAAGGCTAACATCCGCAAAGATGTCAGAGGATACCGAGAAAGAGGTTGCGGATAATGCTAGGATCAGCTCGCATCCCTACGCGCATAGAGGCCATGACGAGGAGGTCGGAATCGTCAACCAGGGCGGGCAGCTTCGCACGGATTTGAGGAATCGTCATATGCAAATGATAGCAATCGGTGAGCGCTTTGCAGAGCGTAGTATCTTCGAGGGATTGCAATAATTCGCTAATGCGACGATACCAATAGGCGGCGCTATCGGAGCTGGTTTGTTCATCGGATCGGGTAGTGCTCTATACAACGGAGGACCAGCTGCATTGGTAGTTTTCCCTTTACCTACCTCTTAGAGGGTAACGGAATATGTTACTGCTTAGGTACTAATTTCATGGCTGTCCCAGATCATCGGCTACCTCATCGTCGGCGTCATGTTGCTATTTACGATGCAAGCTCTCGCAGAGCTAGCAGTCATGTATCCGGTAAACGGGGCGTTCTATACTTATGTTGTGAGATTTGTCGACCCGGCTTGGTACGTCCTTCGCCTGGTGCCTGTGTCTTTCTACTGACAATCGGGGTTTCGCCTAGGGGCTTCGCGATGGGATGGGACTATGCGATCGCTTGGCTTACGGTTCTACCGTTCGAGCTAATCGCCGCCGGTATCACCATCGAATTCTGGCGCCCCGATCTCAACATAGCCATCTGGGTTACCGTGTTCCTGGTCGTCTTGGCTCTGATTCAGATATTCGGTGTGCGAGGCTACGGTGAAGGTAAAATAAAAGACCGCATATTGAGGGGTTTAATGTTATGCTGGCTAACGAAGTATAGTCGAGTTTATCCTTAGTATGATCAAAATTGCGGCTTGTACAGGTTCGTGTATCTGGAAGAAACGCAAATAAATCTCAACTCACCTCTATCTTAGGGTTTATCATATTGGGTATTGTAATAAACTGCGGCGGAGTTGGTGATAGGGGATATCTTGGCGCAAAATATTGGCATGACCCAGGGGCTTTCAAGAACGGCTTTAATGGATTCGCGGGCGTTTTCGTCGTTGCTGCCTTCGCTTTCGGCGGCACCGAACTAGTCGGTCTGGCAGCCGCCGAGTCGGTCGATCCTCGACGCGCGATCCCCATGGCTTCTAAGCAAGTCTTCTTCCGAATTGCCTTTTTCTACATCATCAATCTCTTCATCCTCGGATTGATACTGCCATCAAACGATACGCGCCTGGCGAACGCGACTGGCTTCAACTCGAGCTATTCGCCTTTCGTCTTAGCCATCCAGGACGCCGGAATCGCCGTCTTGCCGTCGATATTTAACGCGGTCATCACGATTTCGGTCATTAGCGTCGCTAATTCATGCACATTCGGCTCGACCCGTACAATGCAGGCCATGGCCGAAAGGGGCATGGCACCTCAATTCCTCGCGTATATCGATAAAGCCGGCCGACCTCTATATTGTATTATAGTACAACTTGCATGCGGTCTTTTAGGTTATATTGGTGTGGCGTCGAATGGGCTAGATGTCTTCGACTGGCTACTCTCCCTTTCGGGCTTGTCGTACTTATTCGTATGGGGATCTTGTTGCCTCGCCCATATCCGGTTCAGGTTAGCCTGGAAGGCACAGGGACGGAGTCTGAGAGAGATCCCCTATAGGCCACCGTTAGGAATCTGGGGCAGTGTCATCGGCTTGGCTCTTAATATCGTCTGTCTGATTGCAACTTTTTATAACGCTCTTTATGTAAGCCGAACTCCCCCGTTGTTCATAGAGCCCCTTTCCCCCTTCCCCTTCCCCTTATTGATATTGATGGGATACTATTATTAACGCGTTCGGCGGCTAGCCTTCACCTAATTCGCACCCAGAAGCCGCAAACTTTTTCAAGACGTACCTTGCTGCCCCGATCGTCATTTTGTTATATGTGTTCTGGAAGACGTGGTCAGGTAGCTGGCGGCAGATGTGGGTGAAGCTCAACGATATCGATCTGGCGGCCGGAGCTCGTCCGTTAGAGACGGAGGAGGAGGATAGTATTGCGGAGGAAAAGACATGGCTTAACTTACCTTTCCGTATCTTTAGAGCCCTCTTTTAAGCGTTGTGGCATTAGTCCTGGTGAGTTCGCTAATGAGGTTCGAGGTAATTCGTGGAAGGCTTCAGCATGAAGTATATGTACCATGAATGTTGATATGCCCTATTGTATAATGGCCTACCCTAGTTGATTATTTGTGTCATTTTTATTTAATTACTAAATATAGGTAATAGAAGAGTTTAGGCCAGCACTATTAAAGATTATTTCCAAACGGGGTTGTGACTCTTCTTTCCATGATAGAGTAGCTCTTGCTAGTATCTTAGGTAGCAAGGCACACCGTGGAAGGTCCGTGATAGGTATCGCGTCTATTGCGTTTGCTTGCGTCTTGTAGTTTCCCTTCGAAATGTTTGGTATTTGTCTACTCAAGGTACTAAACCTAAGGTAGTGACTGCTTTCATTATCCATGTAGACGCCTATTCGCGCCCCTTCCTCGAGATCGAGGGCCAATTATTTATTTGGTGCAGTGTCACGAAAAGGGAAGATTCCTTTAGTTTCTATTTTCTATAACGTCGCCCATAATATCCTTAGGCTTTTCGATCCGACCTAACCATCGCATTGAATCAACCTGTGCCCATTTGGATATTCATTGGCGACATACTACCTCTCTTTACACTGCTCCTTGTCTCAATATCCGTTTCAAAGCAGACTATTTGGCAATATACACCTCATCTTCCAAAAAGGGGCCGAGTGTGTGAACTCTGAACGAGGGTATTCCGAACACACGAGGTTGCCAATCTGGTAAGCTTCCTCTGCTTTGTTGTCGCATTTCCCTTACATAGGTGTCTATACTCTCTTGGTATATACGATCATTAGAAAGTTGTGTGATTTTGTATGCCATCAGGCGGCAGTCTTTCAGTCCGGATACTCTCATGCTTTCCTATCCTATCCATCCCCTTATAGTTATATACTATAACTAATAAAATCCTTCGTAATAGAAACTTCTCGGCTAATCATTACCAGCATAAGTCTCGTATACAGGACTTGGGGGCCCTATACTTTGTAGTTGTCAAGATGGCGCAATTCATTCCTGCATCATTTCCCCAGTTTGGATTACTCCCTCCAGAGCTGCGATCTTTGGTCTGGGAAGCTACCTTTCCTGGCCAACGACTTCTTGAGATTCCTAGGAAAATAATCGGCTATATGCCACAATTACGGATACCGGCTATCGTTCATGCTTGTCGGGAGTCACGGTATGAATATCTCACGAAGGAGGGCAAGAACGTCGTCCGAATCCGTAGAGGCGAATGGTTCAATTTGAAAAATGACACTGGTAAGTGAACCTAGAAACTTTTAATTTTTGTACTAGGCTATATTATATCGTTCTCCATTTTCATGCTTTCATGCACTATTAGTGACTTGACCTCACTAACTCTAGTCCATATAGTGAGTATACCAGTTGGATGGGATGGCTGGGAGTGGATCGATGAAGAATTGAAGCCCCATATCAGGTCTATTTTCCTCATAGGCTGTCCGGGCCCTATGACGTTTAGTGGATATAGTGGTTTAGGTGCGTGTTTACTGGGTTTATTCAGACTGACAGTACGTGGCGAAACTGCACTCAATACCATTAACATCGTCCCTTGTGGCGATGACTCCTCTCATCGACACTGTCACTCAATCCACATCAACGACAGGGCGGCAAATCTATTTGGCAACAACACCCTACTCTCTGCCAACATTCAAAATAAAAGTGAATGCGATAGCATGATAGCCAGTTTCAGCGCCTTTCAGGGGGCTAACCAATATGCTATGAACCTTCTTAAGGCCTATAAAATAGGTATAGAACGCGAGCTTCAGGATTGGACGGTACATGGCGCAAAACGTCTATGGATTGGTGAATGGCACCGGTGGCATCGATTGCCTATACCACCATACTACCAGAGGGGCCGATCGGAAGAGGACACAATAGCCCTGTTCGAAAACGACCCTGCATACCGGGATATGTTTGATAAGATGCCCAAGATCAACATTGTGCTTCTTGTCAAACTGGAACAGTATAACTAGGATTTCGATATGACGATGGCAATTCATGCCAAGAACATCAGACGGAATGCAGGCTTCTGGGCACCACGAGCTTGCTGAAGCTTTAACGTTACTCGTCTGGACAAGCAAGGAGGGATATTAAACCTTTAAGCAAGACGTCTAAAGGGTCCATGCGCCTAATGGTTCTTTCTACCTCTTGTCAAGGGCTGGGATTGGCGGAGGACAAGATAAGTAAACCTTTCCGAAATTTTGGCGTTTGAGGCATATTTTGCGGTATTGAGCGGACAGTACGAGTTTGATTTTCGATGGACATGATTATTCGAGGATTGTTTGCGTTGATTTGGAGTTTACGACGGGTTAGCCTCAGCAGCAGCTACTGCAACGATATGAGGCTGGCGAGATTATTTCAAAAGCGTTCAAGTTGTCTTTTTCATTCCTTTTCGAAAAGGAAAGCGTAATAACGCGACGGGATACGAGATTCAACTGTATCTCAGTTACATTTCAATTAGTCCTCAGCATGCCATCGTTGATTTCAGAATGTTTGGCCTCGGCCCCTAGAACAGCGTCATGCGCCGCTCATTAATTAAATATCCCGTAAACGCGCGGATAGTATTCAATTGCCCCTTCTGTGAACGCCTTTCCACATCTACATCTGTCTCTCTGCTGAGGTGTTGCCACTGAACTTAGTAGTAAGTGAGGTAAGTAAAGTAAATGCCGCCTCTCCAACGCTAGAAAAACCCCGACACAACAAAACGTAACGCGAGGGGCCGGTGCATCGTACATAATAAGCAAGGTAGGTAAGTAGGTACACATATAGGACAAGACGTTTGTTTCCCCCCCAGCTTCTCAATATCTAATTGCTACACATGGCGTGGCCCCTTCATCATCATCTCCTACCTCCCCCCCCTATTCTCCGCCTCGGCATCCAAGTCGCGCTCGACCATCTCGATGGAGCTCAAACTCGGGAACCTCTTGGCAAAATCCTGGATGTAGTCCTCCTTCTCTTTGAAGGACATATCGAGAATGGGTCGTCCTGGTAATCCCACACCTGCAAGGTGCTCCGCGGAGCTGCGGTGCTCGGGTCCTGGGGGCCGTGTCGGCGCTGCTTTTGGCGGTGACCGGGGACGGGCATTGCCTGTGGGGAGTTTGTTGAGGTGTGTGGGTTTGGGCGGCAGAGTGGGTTTAACAGGAGAACCGGGATCGGGTTGAACACGACCTCGAGCGGCGGCGGCAGTATCAGTTGATACGGGGACAGGCTTGAGGGGTGTAATACCTCCTCGTCCGCCGGTAAAGTTTTTCGGGGGGACTTCGGGAACTTGTTTCTCTACACGACTCTTAGCCACAGCTGCGTCTGAGAACTTTCCGTAGCCGGACGCTGTGCGCTGAACCTGCTGCGAAGACTTCTGCGACTCGTCTAACAGATTTTGCACGCGGTTTTGTATGCTTACGGCTCGGGAAACGCCACCGATGCTCTTGGGTAGCGAACCTGATGGTCCTCCACCATCCCGAGCAGCCATTCGTTGCTTGTATTCCGCAGCCGCAGCCTCCACGCGCCGTTCTTCTTCAGCAAGAGCTTGTAGCTCAAGCTCCCGTCGCATTTCCGGTGTCATCTCGGGTTCTCCAAGATGCCCATCGTCGCTACGACCGTCAGTTGCCTCCGATCCCGCAATAGGCGTCAAATCGTGACGCTCCATGTCCTTGAGTGGGGATGGTGTCCGTGCACCTGATCCCGAAGGGGTAGTCTCAAACCGTTTAAAAGCATCACCAAACCTCCCGGCCAAGATGTTCTTGGTACCCGACAAGGAAGTCAAGCTCGAGCGCTTTGTATGCTGCTTTGTGGTTTTATCTTTCTTCTTCGTATCAGAATCCTCCATCGACCTGAGAAAGTCTACGTTCGACTCTATCGCTGTCTCGTCCTGGGGCTCAAGCCTAGGGGATGAAGCGTTCCCAAGTAGATTTGGTGAATAGCTAGGGGAACGCAGTGGCCTTGGTGCTGCTTCCCGTTCGCGAAGGTAATCCATGTCGGATTCAAGATAAGTACTGACAGGCCTAGGACGTCCTCCAGTAACTGATGCCTTGGATAGTGGTTCGAGCTGTTCGGCACTAGGTCGACCACTTTCTAGAGATGGACGAGATGAAGACGAATGCCGAGCATGCGCTGGTGATGGTTGAATGGGATCGATACGAGGGGTTGGCGAAGGCCGGAGCGCATAACTTAGATCCGGCCGCTTTTGACCAGTGCCTATCGGTTCCTGCTGTATAGGCAAACTTGCTGGGCGGTTCTGGTCTGCTGGGGGGAATCGGTGGATCGGAGGGTAATCTCGGGTTTGTCTTTCAGGGGGAGGGGTGCTAGTCATGGTTCCAGTTGAGACCATCGATGGCCTGCTTAGGGTATCTTGAGGAGTTTGCGGCGGAGGGGAAGAAATGGCCTGAAGCTCGGGATTACTCGATATTATGGCCGAAGCACGACTCATCTCCGTGGGTTGTTTGGGAGGCGCGGAACCGGGCTTGTTGACTGAACCAGGTGGTGGCGATGACTTTCGTAAATCAGTTGTTACCGACTTCACTCGGCTTAGGTCTGTCGACTGCCTTTGATCTGTCGGAGCTGTTCCTACTGTAGCTTGAGGCCTAATAAACGCTCCGTCCGCTAGGTGATCGGCGACGCGTTGGCTTATATGCTTCTGTGGATCCGCGGGAGATGTTGGATTATCAAAGTCGAATTTTGAACCTTGGTCATGTAGGAGGGCAAATTGGTCAAGTGTCGGGAACCTAGATGATAGTTCGTCCGCCTCGGTACCGGGCCCTGTTTTAGCGTCCAGTGCTGCGAACGGATCACCACTTGTGATTCTCGCCGGAGACGGGCTTGGTTTAGGCGCTGGTATTGGAGCAGACTGGTTGGAAATAGTTGGCCTACCACGCCTCATGGGTGTAATATCTGGAAGTGCCTGAGTCTGTGGTTGCGGTGGAGGGGAATATACAGCGCCTATACCCGGCGTGCCCCTGCTCTCCTTGCCAGCAGTTGCTTGACTCTCGCCTCTCCTAGTCTCTGATTGGGATTGTCCGGAATAAATCTGAAATATGTTAGATAAATATTGCGAGACCGAGGAACTCTACACGTACGTCATGTATAGGCACTTCACGCCCCTGCATACGACAACTTTCTCGGAGCACGTGGTAAATATTTGGTCGAGATCGCAAATCTTCTCGTAACATGGATGCTTTATGACATTGCTTAGTATAGACATTCCAGTACCGGATTGTATACCTTACCGATCAATTGTTTTAGCCTATCGGAGAATATTGGGTAACTAGGAAACCTGAAGCTTGCATTCAAAATGGCTAGCTGTCCTTGCTCTTCAAATGGCGTAGTATAGTAGCAGAGCTTGTAGAGGAGCACCCCTAGAGCCCAAATATCCGATTTCTCGTCTATTGGCTGCTTTCGATATACGTCAATCATCTCTGGACTTCTGTACTGTAATGTAGTATGCCTTTGAATGTCTTCATCTATCAAACGGCATTCTACGACAGTCTGAGGTGCAGGTCTCGGGGGAGCCGCCGAACCAAAATCGCACAGCTTAAACTTCATCTTGGACCCATTTACTGTGATGAGAACGTTCTCGACTTTCAAGTCTCGGTGTAGTAGAGGAGGTTTGAGATAATGCATGCAGGCGACACCTTCTGCAACATCGGAGAAGATATTCAAGATCTCGGGCTCGGTAAGACGGTGCTGCAACCGGGTATTCATAAAGTCGATCAGTCCTCCGCCATTACAGTATTCCATAAGCAGGAATACTTCATATCCGCTGCCGCCCTTGATTTCAGACGCGTGCGAATCGATATATGTAACAATTGTTTCGTGCCCCTTAAGCCGCTTCATCGTCTCAACCTCGGTCCGCATCCCGCGGAGAGTCTCCTTGTCCGGCACAGCAACCCTCTTCAACACAGCCAGATCGGTTCCGTCGACGGGGCGTGGCAACTTGACGAGATAAACATGTGCAAACCCGCCTTCGGATAGGTATTTCTGGATTACCACCCTATGATTGCCGACCTGTATCTTGGTGCCCGGAGCGAAGGTACCAGCAGGAGCGGAGTGTCCATGTATAGGCCCGTGTATAGGCATGGGGGCGTGGTTCTGCATTGGCGCACCGTAACTGGCCTGCTGACCAGGTCGAGGGGCTGCTATTGGCATTGTATTACTATACGAAGCCATGCTGTCGGTTCGAGGTAGAATCTATGGTAAAGGAGACGGGGAAGACTGGCAGACGAGGTGGGAGTCGGTAAAGGGTTGGCACGGTCGGGGGGTATCTTCACGGTTCTGGCATCGAGGCAGAGAGTATGCGCCTTGCAGCTATAACGGACGCATATCTGAACAGACAAGCGGAAAATTAGTAGTAAAAGTGAGTCTAGTTGTATAAACACACCTAAGAAACAATGTCCTAGGTGGCTTTGTGTTGTTAGTGTTGTTAGTATTTAGACTTCAACACGGTTAAACGTGGTGAATTAGACGTGGTGAACTAAACTGTAGGGGTTGTTAATACATAAAGTCGGTCCCTTTTCCCATTTGTCTACTTGTTTCGTAACAGCCTGTGCCACCTGTAAACGTCCCCGTAATCGTCCCCACTAGATCCCCTAAGGTCTAAGGGGTACGTAGCACAAGATTGTACATTAGGTACACTACGTATACATAAATGCATAACCTCGATAAATAGCCTTGATAAATCACATACATAATCCGCAGATACGGATCCTACCCAAGGGGTTCAGGGATGACTAAGTTTAGAACGGGTTCCACTTCAAGTAAAGCATTCCTTATTTAGGGCTAGCGAGTTAGCAACATAGGTAGCCAACCACTGTTACCTCACAGCCTCATGATCAATCATCTTAAATGCATACCTTAGGTACGGAATACCTAGGAGGTAGGTATCGATAATGACGATGGGGACATATTTCAATGCTACGCCATGATACGACGCCAGGCATAAGCTACTAACAAACCACCCTATTATTATACAGTAATAGTTTGCGACGCTTAAACACCATGTCCATGACCTTGAAATACCCATGAAACTCTGGTCTACATAGATATTACAGAATTCATTCATGCGGGGAGATCGGTATGCCTCCTTTAAATATTCGCCTATCACTCGGCTCATTCAGAATCATCGCTACCATTTCCTCTCCCACCGCTTGGGCCTCCGTTACCGCCATCAAGGAGAAGTTTAGGCTTGATGTAATCCTCATCAAGTTGTCTAAATAAGGCCTGGGGGTCTTGGGCGGTAAGTAGTTGTTTAATAGCCGCCCTGGTAGAAATGGGTGCTGCCTCTCGGTGACCTGAGGTCGGGTATGAGAATACACCTTCCTCTTCTGACGTCCCGCTAGGCGTAAGAATAGGGCTTCGCGGTGCTTTGCGTGCTGGAGGCGGGAGATCTGATGTATCAATATCGCTCCCGAGATCCGAGTCGGTCACATTACCGCCACGGCCCAGGAGATCCGCTCGTTCGACATCCTCACCAACTTGGCGAGACCCCTTACGGCTCGAACTAGTAGCACGTGATGTTGGGAAAGACGGTGAACGATGCCCTGATACATAACTTCCTCGTTCTGGTCCAGCGGGTTGCTGGAGTCTCCCAGAATCCACCCGATTAAGGCGCACAGACCCATTTCTCTGTCGGGGATTGTACCCGATTCCGGTTCCAGACCGTTTATAATAAGAGCCTGATGGCGCAGCTTCGATATCGAATTCGTCGTCACTATCGACCTCTTCGACAACGCCCGTCCTGATACCCAATATCTCCAACATTCGTGCCGTAGTGCCACCAAAGATGATCACAGTGAGCACCACCACAACGAGCACAGTAGCCTTCAGCGCGTATGAGTTTTTCCCGGTTAATAAAGCGGCCAGAGCCACACCGACAGCCCCCCGTAGGCCGGCCCAGAATAGCATAGCTTGGTAACTATAGGGAAGTTCGTCGCTGATCTCCTTACCCTGACGACGCGCCCGATAATGGTGGAACCAATTGATAGCCCTAGACAACGGGAAAACGGCTACCCATCGTGCGGCACAAACGGCGACGATAGTAACGATTATCAGGGGCGGTTGGAACTGGAGATCATTGTCCGTGAATAATGATAATCCTAAATAGATGAAGATGAAATTTTCGGAAAGCTGGGCTAATATTTGGAAGAAGTACTTGGTACTGAGCTGTGTTCGTCGTGACATGTTGAAATATGCGTAGTGCTTGAGAGTAATACCACAGAACAGCAAAGATACGATACCTACTAGGTATTAGATACTATCTTATCAAAATAGGAAACGAGAACAAAGACATACCTGACATCTTTACTCCTTGAGAAAAAAAGTAGCTTGCATACGCGATCAGCACGATCAAACAAGTTTCAATTTGAGGATACCTCCTGATATAGGTAAATTTCAGAGCCAGCGCAGTACCAACGCCAACCAGAACCCCGATAAGCAAGCTACCAAAGAAGATGAGCAAGAAAATGCCCACACCTTCGAGGAAGCTCAAAAACCCATATGCACCTGCGGAATCGCTCTTGTACTTCTGCGCAGTCTCGAAAATGACAATCGCAATAGCATCGTTCAAGATAGACTCGCCAAAGATAACGGTATATAGTTTTGGGTCCACTTTGTAGGTATTGAAGATGGCCAAGATAGTGACTGGGTCTGTGGCAGATAAAGTTGCACCAACAGAGATGGCATCAACAAATGTCATCTCGAGTCCTTCAAGTGGTATTCGGGTATACAGCCATAAGAGCAAGCCAATTACTACGGCAGATAAGAAAGTGCCAGCGAAGGCAAAGGTCAGGATGGTACCGATGTTCCGAAAGAAATTGGCTTGGTGTAGTTCGTACCCGGAGTTTAGGATGATGGGCGGCAGTAGTAAGTTGAAGAAGATCTGGTAGTCGAAGCTGACGAGCTGTCGAATAGAATGGCCAGTGCTCACTCTAAGAATTAATCCTACGGTCATTCCTGTTTATCCAATATCAGCTTTTTTTGTTGTCATGACGTTCTTCCCATTCTGTGACCAACCAGCAAAGATAGAGATTACTGTTTCGTGGACAGCTTGGACCTTCTTCTGCTGTAGCATATAGCTGGTGAAGAAGGCAATTATGAGGAGGACAATTGATATGAATAGCGCCCATGATGCGAATATTTCCTTCTGCCCCGAGTCGGCCTCTGATAAGTTGTTAGATCAAGTCGATATATAGGCTCGAGCCGCGAGCCGCGAGCCGAAAGCTGGACAATCAGGTAATAATATCATACCATCGGGATCTGTCTCTTCGTCCTGTCGTCCTATAAGACATTATGGTTAGGTAAGTTATAGATATGATGATGAATTAGAATTGGTTGGCGTACGAACAAGCTCCATAATGGAGCCGGCAATTTCTGTCAACATGGTTGCGACAAGGACGTCAAGTCGGGTGTTGATGCTTGAGTAGAATATAGATTTCTTGCTCCAAACCGAGCACTAAGAATCGGGCGTGAGAACGCATGAAACGTCGAGGGACTTGTTTGCTCGGCGCGATGTGATTCGATGTGATTCGGTGCGATGAGAAGTGAGGACTAATTGAAGTCAAAATTCAATTTACTGCGCTTGATCAATGCAAGTTGAAATCGACAGCTTGCACCTTCTGCTACTGATTGCTGATTGCGCCGCACTGCCGCAAAATGCGTACGTAGGTATACGCCTGCAGGGTCTGACCCACCTGTAAATGCCTACCTAAAGCAAGCTGAGGCCGGAACGGACTTTACGGCTTAGTCTCGTTATAGTGATACCCCTCATTAAATAGTATGCACATAAGAACAGTTGGGTCTCTACCCCGCTTATGGTTTTATCTTGGTTAGTTAAATCATTACAAGCTTCAAGGAGAGGTAGACTTTAGGTAGGTATTAAATAGGTATTTTACTAGGTACATAGGCTAATGAAACACAAGTAACACGCGTACTACATATATGTAGGTACCGTTTGCACCAATGGATATATATGTACTTTATATACGTAGATGTTAATCTTTAAACATCACTCTTGGGAATAATAGAGAAGTTGTTATTTGAAGGTGAAAAGAGTATATATAGATACACAGTACATATAACAGGTATCTTACTGTACATACATGTAAAACAGACAAAGTTTAAGTCTATACCAGCCAGAGTCTAGCCTCTCTCCACAGTACTATATTACTCTAGGTTAGTCCTATTACATTACGTCGCAAAGTGGCTGATGTCATTGCGACTAATAATCGAATAACGTATGTACCTAATCCAACAAAACCTCGCCATTCCGACTGGTTTATTGGCATCTGTTTCCTCAGGTCATGCGCAAACAGGCGTCTTGGACTACCTATTAACACATTACATACTTACTACTACCACCTCAGGTAGTGTCCAGCTCATCCATCTTTCTTCATGCTAACCAATTACCACGCGCCACCATTCTAGCTGTACTCGGGACCTCATGCGTCTCGTGCTGTTGCCTCGAGTTCGGGACCGTGTGACATTCACTCCCATACATCTTCCTCCCTAGGTACTATGTAGGTATCCCCTTGACTCGCATTCAACTACACCTCCACTATTCAGTATCAGTACATAAGGCTTGACGTCGTTCATTAACATAATACATAGAAAAAGGTCCAACAATTAGTACAAACGGTAGATATCATTGGTCGATTTAGTCATCTTCTCTTTCCTGGCCAATCCTTAGTTGAATGCCAGTCAAGGGGATACATCAACTAGGTATGTACTTGTCTAGACGAATCTAGACGGCTAAATTCATCCAACCCCGGTCTCTATATACCGAGACTTCTCTAACCTATAAACCTACCCTTTTACATTTGACATGCACGCATATAACAACATAGAGTTGACGACAACATTTCCCATCGTTAGCTTCCCTCCTTTGCCGTAACCGACTTCTCCTTCATTATTAAACATCATATTACCGAGCCTGGTTGCGAAAGCCATACCATCTAATCGATGACCTCGTCATTGTCGAGCTCCTCGTCCTCGTCCTCATCCTCGGACCGTCGATCTTCGTCGAATCGCAAATATGATCCGCCCTCGAAACTAGACAATAATGCTGAACCCGCGTGGTCCGAAAGTACAATAAGGGTCGGCGCAGGCGAGGCTGCCGGTCTGGACAGGCTCAATGAGAACTCTCCTCTCCTCTCTCCCAGACGGGATGATTCCCTAGAGGAGGATCGTGAGAGAGAACAAGCCGAAGAGGATGAGTCCCAGACAACCAAGAGCCTATGGTACCTCTTACTTTTGACGATTAGTATTGGAGGACTGCAGGTCGCCTGGGCTGTAGAGCTATCTAACGGCACTCCGTACCTACTATCTCTCGGCTTAAGCAAGTCTCTAATGGCTCTTGTATGGGTCGCTGGTCCGCTCACTGGAACTCTGGTACAGCCATACATCGGTATGCTCAGTGACAACTGCAGAGTGTCTTGGGGGAAGCGCAAGCCATTTATGCTCGGTGGTGCCGCTGCCACGTCGCTGGCCTTTATGTTTCTTGCGTGGATTCGAGAGATCATCGGGGGGATATTCAGCTTGTTTGGAGTTGACTCCGATTCCCATACAGTGAAAATCACCATTATTGTTATCGCTGTCATCTGGATCTACGTCCTAGATGTTGCTGTTAATACGGTACAAGCATCAATTAGGGCCTTCATCGTCGATTGTGCGCCATCGCATCAACAAGAGGCTGCAAATTCCATGGCTAGCAGGCTTGTGGGCGTCGGTAATATCATTGGATACCTCGCTGGTGGAATTGACCTTCCGAAATATGTTTGGTGGTTTGGGAGCACTCAGTTCAAGGATCTTTGCGCGATCGCGAGCATTGCGCTCTGTTTCTCGGTGATATTGAGCGTTGTATTCATTAAGGAGCGAAATCCTCAGCTTGACGGACGTCCTGCTGCCGACCGGCCCGGCCTTCTGTCGTTTTTCGTGAAGATATTTGCCTCGATCAAAAGACTTCCACCGCAAATTTCCAAGGTTTGCATTGTCCAATTTGCAGCGTGGATCGGCTTCTTTCCCATGCTGTTCTACACATCATCCTATATTGGAGAAATTTACGTCGAGCCCTACCTAGAAAAGAATCCCCACATGACTCCCGAAGAGTTGGATGAGCTTTACGAGAGGGCTATCAGAGTGGGCACTTTTGCCCTATTAATATTCGCCATCACCAGTCTGGCAACTAATGTTCTGCTTCCTTTTTTTATCGACCCGACGTATGATAACAGTCCTATTGTTGCCCCTGCGCCTGGAGAAGCTCCTGCAGTCCTTGGGACCGCTAAGAAGAGTTTCCTAGCCCGTCTAGTCATTCCCGGGTTTACCTTACGAAGAGCATGGATGTTGTCGGAAATTCTGTTTGCTGGTGTAATGTTTTGTACCGTGCTCGTCCGAACAGTTGAGGCTGCGATAGCGCTTATTGGTCTTCTTGGTATCACATGGGCTTTGGCACTCTGGGCGCCATGGGCCATCATTAGCGCCGAAATCAGTCGTCGCGATATTTTATATCGAGCCCGAAGACAACAAATAAGATCACTCGCGCGAGGTGGGCAATTAGATATCGCCGGCTCTGACGATGGGCTCCTTGCATTAGAGGCTCAATTGGAAGATAACGAGGCGGAACCAGACCAAGCCGGTGTCATCCTCGGTATTCACAACATGGCTATTGCTTCACCACAGTTCATCGCTACTCTTGGTTCCAGCATTATCTTCCGCATTTTTCAGAAACCAAGAGGCGAGCCTGGCGACCATAGCATCGCTATCGTCTTAGCATCAGGGGGCTTCTTCGCACTTGTAGCTGCGTATTTTATTCACAAGATCAGCGAGGATACATCGATACCGGCAGATGCTGTTTATGCTGTAGAACAAGGTGACCCAGTCAATTCACGACGACCGAGCACAGCACGCAGCAAGAGGAGTATCGACCAGCCCAGGGCTAGCCTAGAACAAGCGACCCTAGCTAGAAACAGTAGCTTTGGTGCAGGATTAGAATACTGAACATGCCCCCGGTGTGCTATGCTGAGGATTGCTCACGATGTTGATCGATGAGTTCGTGAAAGGTTCACGTATATCTCCTTGTGTTTCCCTACCCATGTGACACTCTGAGCCCCGCAGGCGATAGACATACACAATTTATGCTTTAGTTATCAGGATTATGGTTGGTTGCCGAGGGGTAGTTGATGTAAATTGCCTCAGACGATATGTATACCTAAGTTATATCTCTGTACTCTACATGTAATCGTTACAGCTATTTTCAGCACGCTAATAAATGCTTATTTAAAAGCTAAGACACGTTTTGGTCCGCAAAGAGATCCCCCATGGGGAATAGCGGGAAGTAGAAGGGCCAGTACGGTCTACATACTATCTCAATAGGCTAAATGCCACGACCCTTGGTCCCCACGTTCAATATAATATGATCTCCGGGGCAAGATCGTCGGAGGCTCCTATCCGCGGTTCACTACAAGCTTTGCTATAGACCTATTTCTAGTCGTCCTCCTACGGTCCGGCCTGCCATCTTTAGATTAAATCTAGGCCATGCCTGGACCATCTCTCCTTAATGGATCCCCTGTCCTGTGCACCTTGCCCGGTTAGGGTGCCAATGGCACGATGAGTGGACTCTACCGTACCGTCGTGTATAAAACATCACAGTCCCCAGGAAGCCGTGCATAGCATTCTATCATCGGGTTCATTCTTTGACCATCCCAATCCGCATAACCCTTCAACCGGGCCCGCGCATTCCCTTCCAACACCTACAAGGTGGTCACCAAGATACCTTGAGTCCTCTAAGATGAAGGTTACTCTCTTTTCAGCACTGGCTGCAGTGGCCAGCGCGGCCGTCCTTTGGGACGGACGATTCAACGACCTGGGCACATCAGCCGACCTAAACAAATGGTCATGGGGTAACCAAGTTGGACCGTACCAATACTACATCCACGGATCGGGCTCGGTCGAAAAGTACATCAACTTCTCGCCCGACTTCAAGAACCCGGCGGACACGGTATCAAAGCAAGGAGCCAAGTTCACGCTGGACTCGACCGCCTTCTGGAATGGGCAGAATATGCGACGCATCGAGTTGATCCCCCAGACTAAGGCTGCTATCAACAGCGGCAAGGTGTTCTACCACTTCAGCATAATGCGCAAGGACACCAATGCCCCGTCTACGAACCGCGAGCACCAGATCTGCTTCTTCGAGAGCCACTTTACCGAGTTGAAGTACGGCTGGATCTCCGGCGAGCAGGGCACCGAAAACCCCAACTTGCAGTTGTAAGTGTCTACGCCAGCCATACTCTTTTCCTAGGGCGCACTTGTCAGTGTCGAGGCGCTGGAAATAATATGTATCTAAGTAGCACTTGCTAACATGATACTCCCCTACACAGCATGGTCTCGCAAAACTCCAAGTGGAAGACGGAGTGGAAGCCCAACGTCTGGCACAACGTGGCGTTCGAAATCGACTTCGGCAGCGGCTCCGTCGGCTTCTGGCACTCGGAGGGCGGCGACGAGCTGAAGCAACTAGTAGCCCCCGTCAAGACGTCGACTTCGTCTAACGGCGCCGACTGGCACCTGGGTGTTCTCGAGCTGCCGCGCTCTGGCTACTCCGACGGCGTCGAGGACTTCTTCTTCTCGGGCGTGTACGTCGAGAGCGGTCCCGTCACTACTGCTATCGGCGGTCCTGGTAAGTACCTAACTTAACTACCTAGATGTCTGTCTTGTTGTCGCGGCTGATCGATATGCTTACATCTTGCGTTTAGCTGCGTGATATCGGGTGGGAACGTACGTTGATTTTGCATAGGAAAAGGTTGAACGATGTTCGTGTATTTAAGTAGTTCAAGTCCAATTGTATATATGGATGACAGATCTGACCCTTCCCCTTGGATTTCCTTTCCCTGCGATGCCCACCGACCACGACCTTTTCGAAGAATGATGGGATTACCTTAGATAGCATAGGTATAGGTATCCAAGGTACTCAAATTACTCGCCCCTACCTATACCTATACCTATTCTCAACCTCGCCTAGGAAAATTCACCTAGTTCCCGTCCATTTTCCGACCCATTAAACTCGGTAAACAATATAAACATTAATACCACCACAGCGTCTCCAGGAGGTTTAGCTCAATCCATCCATCCCCCTCATCCAGCTTAGCAAGGCCCAAGGATGGTCGGAACCTCGCCAGGTATCGGGCCTCGCGATACGTCCCACGACGTGTACCCGGCCCAATAAAAGCAAACGTTGCTACCAGAGTTGCAGTAGCTGTAATCGCAGCGTCCCGTAAAACTAGCCTGAGACAACGATGCAGATGATGAGGGAAACGACGTAGTCGGTGGTGCCGTTGCGCTTGTCGTCGAATTCGCGGCCACGGTTGGGGTGGGAGTGCTTGCCGGAGGGGGTCCGTATCCTCCGGGGGGTGTCTCCGTAGAGTCGATAGCCGTCGCCGTGGCAGCGGTTTCGAACGGGTGTGGGAGCGCCCGGGTTGTGGGGGTGAGAAGGAAGAGAGCCGTGATCAGGCTATGGAACGTAACCGTCATGGCTATGTCGGGGGGTTCTAGCTCTCAATAAAAATGACAGGTTTAGGCTGAGATAGGTGTTTCTATATGTTGACGTATTCACAAGCAGTATGCAACTCAGACTAACGAACGACAGACTTGTTTTTGTCGAAGTCTTGGTCAAGAGACGTCCAACACATCTCAGTCTCATTATATATCATAACAATCTACCCTAGGTCGGCTTGACCGATCCCACTCCGGCAAGGGATTCGTCAGCAGTTGGACAACGTGTTTCCCCAAGCTGGCGAATTAATCGGTACCTCATTCCCAACTATGCCGCATCGTGACATCTCCTTTGCTTGGCGGTCGCCTAAGTTGAAGACGCCTGATTCGGTGAGATAGTAACGAGAGGGCAATGTTTGATAGCTCGACCCATCTACAGTATGTTCACTTATTACACGACGAGAACGGTTCGGGGTTGCACCTCCTCATCATTGGGTGTTTGCTACAAGCTGAACGTTGAGGGACGCATATTAATATCTGCAAGATACTGCAGGTAATCCAATATTTGGCGTTTCCCGTTCCGCAGCAGTTGCATATGTCCCATGTATATGCCGACAAGGATTAATGCAAGCCTCAAATACCTAAACCCCCAGAAGAGAAATCTTACTGATCATGCTTCGAGACAATATCGGGCCGTAGGTCTATAATTGGAAATTTCCTGCCTGTCCGAATAAGGAGATTATCAAAATCGCAAACAACCAGGAGGTTGAAGCTATTTAGTAACACAACGGATCGCTTACGGCCCGATATCTCCCAGATTATTGGTATGTCTCGCAAGAAAAGTATAGCCAAATGATGCAAACATACGGGTATCTACGTTTGGATGGAAGTTGCTTTATTTTTTTTTTCTCTCGCAGCGCTCGACTACTGTACTGTGTTATTACACCAGGCATTTGGATATGATCTGCGGGTAATCCCGACCCGTACTCTAACAACTCCGGCTAGGATGATTGTATTGACTGGTATATATGGCATTACTATCCATCTATGAACAGGAACGTGGGCTTAAAGCTTATACTTTGGCGATAAGACATTAACCTCAAAGGGTTTCCAAGACCCGGTACGATGGTATACTCCCTATGGGTTCGCAACCCCTTTTTACGTAGTTACTAGCTATTTTCTACAAAGTATGGTACTTGAAATCGAACAGAATTAAGATTATATTCGCTATTATTTCACCTACCTCGCTATATATATACCGTCCGTCTTCCGTACTTCTCATAATTAATCATCACCATAAGACCGCCAACCCTAGCTCTCATTCAATGAACCAATTCCTAGGAACTTTAGGCATTCGAAGCTATTAAACTTGGAGTAGAGCCCAATATTATACGGTATTAGGAAGAGGAGGGGAACTCTTGGGTAATATCAACGGGCTCGCAAGTTGGGTTGTGAGGTTCTCCGGTCAAGGTCCATCCAACCGACTGGTAGTAGTAACCAGTGAAGTATTGCCAGCACACATACCTGCTTGTGGTCAATCGCTGCATTAAATAAAAGACTTTTGGTATGGTTTGGGGAACAGATGCCTCGATCATCAATAGAGCATAATGATATACATACCATTGATAGTAGGCCGTTCCGTTACCGCTAGGGGCTGGATTCACTCCGGGGACGAAGGTCGAATCGTCAATGTAGGTCCAGCCGAATAGTTTGCTGGCCTTGTCGAAACCAACATTGAAGTAATAGGTAGAGAAGCCAAACAGCAGCTCAGCGACGTTGCTGTTCAGAGCGAACTGCAGTCCTAGAGCCTGATCCACAGTGGCTTGGTTTCCGCTGCCGTCGTTGTAAGGGAGCTTCCACACAAGCGTGCCGACGTCGTTATCGTCGACCTTGGTGTAACTGGAAGCATTGAAGTAGTATTGGAAGGAATTTCCCTCGGGAAGCGCTCCAGCGTTGTAGCACAATCCCTCAATGGCAGCACCAGCATGGCATGAGCCGGCATATCCTATATAAGTTATAAGCTTCCCATTCCTGTTAAAGTTGGCTAGAAGACTAACCGTCAATAGAGCTGCCGTCTTTGCCCGTTATGTGGAGGGCGAACGGGCCAACCTGCGGGACATCTTGGGCAGATACTACAGCGGCGGCGATGCCGACAAGTAGCGACGAGAGTTGGAACCTCATGATTTTTATCGGGTATAATAGAATAATAGGTATTAAGTATATTAGAGGATAATTAACTAGATGGTCTAATCGGAATTTGTTGAGATGATGTCTGATTCGGAGGTAAATTATCACTACACGGGTGGCAGAGCATCCAATTTATACGCCAACAGCTCTTTCGTCCGTCGGAGGAGAGACGGTGACCATCACGAGGTCACCGAGGCGGAGAACAGAGATGGAAGACAGACATCATGACGGGCAATGTTCCGCGCTGAGGCGACAGTAGAGAGCGACTTCGTCTCATTGGTCACATCGTATCAGCCGCTCCGCACGTGGCCGTCAGGGCTTCTGGGACCCAGGATAGCCTATAGGTAAAGCTCCAAGCATCACTAGTATGTGTTTCTCCGAGCCGTAAAGCACATACAATGCTGGTTAGATTGGGTAGTTAGTCCTTTCAGTCAAATTGGCGCAGTGCCTGGATGTCTCGTATATGCGATGTGACATCGTAAAGAACGTCCCCTGCCTTATGGGCTTCTGGTCACATTATGTACAGTAGGTATAATATCGGTAGAACGTCGACCCATTTGACAGTTGTAAGATGATTCAGCTTAGTGATGACGGTGATTACCTATAGGCTATGATGATAACAGTGCTTGAAGATACCTAGATAGATGTCTTCGACTTCAGAAACAGTTGTTACCACATCCAAGCCATCTTCGTATCCAAATAAGCGCTAGAGATTATTAAACGTCAGATAATGTATATGCCTTACTCGGAAAAACTTGAATGGGATTTTGAAAGGCAAAGGCAGCGGCAGCGCCGGGGTATAGTAACGTTGTTAGCAAACGCCGACCTCGTTCAGTAAACTGACGACTAATCCCAGAACAGACAGGTATTTATTAGGAAATGTAACATAAGACGTCATATTAACTCTAGCTAAGGAAAAAGAATGAGACAAAGATCGATAGATCTCAAATGAGATGATCCAATCAGCATCGTCTTAGCCCGGCGTTACCGTATGAGCTTCCATAGCAACGGAGAGATAGGGGCCAAGGCAATGTTCGAGAACACCGATAGGCGGTCTAGCGTGATATCAGCCGACCACATCGTCAGCAATACGATCTTTAATGTGTTTCTACTCCTTTCACGATCTAGTTAATTTACGCCTTTTTCGCATCACACGTCCAAAGATTTCAGAGCGGAATCTTCGGCATCGACCTGGTATCACCCCAATAAGCCCTCGAGGAGAAACCGAAGGGAACTTCGTGCGAACATCTTCGGATTCCGCGGACAACGACCGTATTACATGCCCCTCGGCGTCTTAAGCGATATCTATTTAGGTTCTTCCATCGTACAGGCGATCCCGGAGAGCGAGCCTATATCTATCTTAGATGCACTATCCAAAGAGGATGTCAACAAGCGAAGCAACGAGATGTTATTAGCAAGATACGGAATAGTGCCGACTAAGATGCTACAGAAGCCTTACTTCATACTTAACAATGCGAAACATCCAGTCCCCTAAATGTTCGATCAATTAATGAACCTGGCGAAACGACAATATACTTTAGAATAGAAGATGAAGAACCCAGCCCAGGAGAGCATACCATGAAGAGTATATATAAGATGGCAATTACGTCTCTTCTCTACGTCAACTTCTCGCCCCGGTTACTACTCACCTCGAATCCTAAGCTACACTGATACCACGACTTGGTCATCGTCTTCTTTTCTAAAATCATGAACAGAAAATGATAGGTAATCGATATCCATACTGTTAATTCCCAGGGTTTAACTCGTATAAGTAGCAAAGTTAGATAGGTCAATAACTACATTAGAGAAACTGCTTCATTGGGGGGTAGTGCTCTATCTTGTTTTAGTTATATCATCAGATTAACACACGCAGCGTCTACAGACCAGCCCCTATTCACACCCTCATTATTGCCAATAGCCCCTCCTCTATGTCCTATGCTCGGGTATAATTATATCCGCCGTCCTTCTTCCTCCTGTTCATCCCGAATAGCCATCATAGGTACGTGCCATGCCGTTTATCAGTTCGGGCTGTGCTATAAGTTGTCTTGTTCTATTATCAGTACCTAGACAACACAAGAGGCTAAAATGAATCACTACAAGTTCCTAGATTAACACTTTTAGTCCATAGGTAGCTTATGGTCTTGAGACTCGTCTAGTTAAATAATATTCATAATTATTTTATTTTATTTCATTCATTCCTTTTAACCTAGGCATTTAGATACTCAATACTTCATCATCTACTTCACTTCCTATGTACCCACCCGTACCCCTCCGCCTCCCTCGAGCTTTGGATCACACTTTCCGGAGGCTCCCTCTCCTCAGCCGTAATGCTGCCTGGCACGTCCTCAGGCGTATAGTAGTCCTCCCCCTTGAATTGTTCCTTGAGCGGCATTTCCTCAGTGCTCTCGATATTCGCCTGCGCGGCCTCCTTGCCCTGGGTCATCACTTCGCCCTTCCTGGCTCCAACGTTTGCCTCCTGCACGTCCGACCAGACTTCGCGGCGCCCGCTGCCGGCTGCGTTGAACTCGTCGTTGCCGCCGAAGTCCCGCGCTTCTCGCGCAACTTTGTCTTCGGGGCCGCCGGCGCCTTCGAAGTGCTCCCCGCGGGTTTGTCTGTGAGATGGGTTAGTTCCCTCCTAATCTACCTGGGACAGGGGATGTCTATGTAGGAAACCTAGGGATAGATGGGGGGATCGTACCGGCCGCGAGCATCTACGTCTCCGCCTTCCTCGGGCGGAATTCGCTTGTTGTAGCTGGCGTTGGTGGATAGGTCTTTGTCGTAACGCACGTCGGCGCCGGGGAACTTCTTCGCTGCTGTTGTGTCTACGCCAGCCTCGTCATTGCGGGAGTCCCTGTTGGCACCGGTCTTGGCCTCGTAGCTGTTTAAGTCTCGCTCGGCCTGGTCGGCAATGCCGCGTAGAGTCTCTGATGAGGGTGCCATTTTGTGTATTTGTGTGATGGCTATAAGTTAAAGTTATGTGATAGGTAAGGTTGTGAAATAGAATTGAGATGAAGATTCGATAATGAATCTAGAACTCAAGTCTTACACAAATGCTCGCCATATCTTCCCTTTATTATTCAATCCAGACAACATTTCTGACGTCAGTGACGTCAGAGGAGAAATGGCGATGCTGAGCGCATCATGAAATCATAAGCCCCAATTTTCCAGGGGCTTGTCATGTCTGTATTTCCATGAAAAGCAGAGAAGCTGGAGGATCTGTCGATTCTACATAAGTTTAAGATCTGCCTAATTAAATCATTCAATAATCTATCACATGTACTATAATAACCTAGATGCTTGTGTGCTATGTATGATTGTGTGATATCAATAATCACACCTCTGGCTGTGGGTGATACCTGGGGTGATATCATCCCGGGTCATCTTCTCCGGCGGCTCTGCTCGCCCCTTTCCTAAACCGTAAAGGTGAGATTTTATCATAGCTTACAATCAAAGAAGTCTTCGAAATTACTCTCGATTGCTTCTAGAAGTTACTATTGTATCTTATCGATTTCTACGCTGAGTGTAGAATGTCTTAGATTCATATTCGTCCCACGCCGCCACATACTTAATCAAGCATCGTGCAACTCTAGTGTAAGGTGGCTTTTATTTCTACCGATATCTTAAGGCTGGGCATTCGAAAACGAACTCGTATCTCGGCAACAGTCTGCAACATAAAATACACTACAAGAGTGGCACTTGGAAATCTATTCTATTCATTGTTCAAATTATATTTTATGTCCCCTATTATTGTCCAATTACATTAAACATAGTCCGTAGATAGGTTCAACCGGCAACTAAGGCATTTTTTATGATTAGCTATGTAGTAGTCCACGTCAGGTCAAAATGGCTTACCATGGGTTAATATATTGGCTCTTGAAATTTCCTTTATATTCTGTAATAAGAGCGGAAATATTATTGTTAAATTATAACTTCTACCAACAGTCACAGTTCTCAATAGTTAGTACGTACGTACATGTAGATACCTAACCTACCTCGGGTATCCAATCTAAATCTATGCGAGTGACGGATCCTCGGGTCTTTTCCCTCTTATTCCAACAGCCTTACATGGCGTACGTAGTGTTCAGATCTCGAGTCAGTACCGGAGCCACGTTACTTGTACCAATATATTCCAAGTTTACCTGGCTGGCTTGGAGTTGTCTGCTTCATCCAGCTGGGCTCGAATTGTAAGGTAGAAAAATGACTGGTCCTTTATGATTTATGATAAATTTGGGATCCCTCCATATATGTACCATTCAATACGAAGATCCGCGTGTCAAAATGGCCCTGGAGTTTGGGACGCCAGGGGGCTGGATTGTTTAATGTCAAAGCGGTGATGCTTTCAGGGGACTTTCAAGAGGTATTGTTTTTAAGTTCACTGGCATTACTGAAAATGCCGGAATGCCGTTTCTGGTAAGTGTTGAATTAAGTATAATTTATGCATTGTAATCTACGTATATACACGACGAGAAGTCTTATCAAAATTTAACTGATTAATATAGAATGGCCGGGACATAGGATGGTTCTGGTATTCCTGTGATGTAGGAATCAACTCATTCCCCAAGAGAAAACCTTGTGATACATACAGGTAGAACTACTGTAGTTTTCGGCTTTAGCAACTATTGGACATCCATCGATTGAAACACAGGAGCCCGGCCTGGCCCGGTCCAGTAGGACGGGTAGCATCGCTAAAACCATGACTTCTCCGAGTTTTCTCCAGGTTTACGAGGCCAGACGGTATTCGTTTACAACGCAGTGATCAACATTAACATGATACTTGATTTTACAATCGAGGTCGCTTAATCACGAAACAAACCAGTATCTTTGCAGCCTTAGGAATATAGATATATGGTTCGCCCCCTCTGTTTTGCGTGCTCGAGTTCCAACCGCTATTATAGGTCGCGCGGAACACCGGAACAGTACGCGCCCTACAAAAACTCGTGGTCTGTTCCAGGTATTCTGTCACCCGAGGCGGCGAGTTGGGGGCGCAGCTTTTCCCTTACATGGAGACATAACGGCTCCCGTGGGTTACTGTATCGCTGCGGCGTAGCAGCCCGGTAGCGCGGTTTCGAGCCGTCGCCCCGAGTGGTTGCTACAACGCGGTATCCGGAGAAGAGATCTTAGTGTAGACACCATGAAAAGTCTTGGCTAAGTTACTATTGTTAGTTATTACAGACCCTACAAGTATACTTTTGGGGTGAGGGTATTGGTTTTATGGTTCTAATAAGTTTACTACCTACTCCTCTGAGCTGTAACTAGCTGAGAAAAGCTTATGAGTACGATAGATCCGGGTAGCCTTAGGCCGAGAGACCTGAGCTACTGTAGGAGGCTCGTAATGCATGTTAGCAGGATTTAAGGAATTGTTGCTTCGCAGGTAACAAACCAGGTCCTAACACGATGTCTGCACCACATTTTAATTCCGTCGGAAAGCGTAAGCAACGAAAATGTTTTGTCAACCTCTTGGTTCTCCTCGCCCAGTCGAAGCCTACAAGTTGTCAGCTTATCTGCATAAAACTACCTAGGTACGCAGTTTGTTGTTTCAGACGGATAATTGGACAGGAGCGTGGTCCTCGGTAGAGTCTTTGAAGGTACCTACACCGTCCCCCAGGTATGTACGTCTGATGGCGGCTACATATTGTAAGCGTGGCTGCGTGGACCGGCAGCTAGGTACCGTACTCTTAGTGAAAAATGCGAAATACCACGGTACCATGCACTTGAAAGGTGATGTATCAATAAACAGCGTCCGTGGAAGTATGCTGGCCTCTCGCATGCGCGATAGCCCGGTAATGTTTCAATACGTAGTATGCAAGAATGAGTCCACCAGAGTGGAGTTTGTAGGTAAGGTGGCTTGGAAGCGATCGGATATTTACAGCAAAAGGGTGCTGAAGATAATAGGTCTAATAGGTCTATCAACAATTCCCGGTCTTGGGAACCGCCTGTTCACCTGCACATGACCACACACATCTGCCTGTTGGGAAGAACAACCCGATATGATACTGAAGTGAAGATCTATCCGTTTCCAGCTGTAGGAGCGCTCGATTGTATGATTGTAATAGTAGATTGGTTGTAGTTTATGTAGGCTGACTTGGATAGCTCCCCCCCACAGTTACAAATACAGAGGTGTATCTCCGTGGACTTTACCCGGTCTCATTGATAATACCTACTAAGAGCCTGGTCGTAGCCAAGGTGGCTAAGACTAATAGGGGGTGCATTAATAAACTTCCTACATGGTACCATGAGGAGGAATGCATTTGCTCCTTCACACTAAGATTTAATAGCGTATGGTAATTTGTCTTCTAATAAGACTCAAGTCTATGTACTTTTATATCTTGAGAGTTTGAAAGTTCACGTCTACCTAAGTTGCAAGAGGTTTTAATATTACTTAACTCTTATGAATTTATCTTAACTACCTAATTTATATGTATTATAATTACAAAGGGCAGCTATTCGGTTTCCAAATTTCCGTTGACGAAAATATGCCTTTCACCATCTGGTAAATTACGAAGACAAAAAGAGATTGTTTACATATTAACTTCACCTTACTTTCGTACTGCTTAACAGCGTGTATTAGGTAGGTAATACACGGCTTGTAAGGCTGCTTATACTAATATTCGGATCTTAAACTTTTTTAAAAAATGAAGCGGGCAAAAATCAAAGATAGCCTTTCGGTTTATGGATCATGATTAAATAAATAAAAAAAACTCCCCATATCCGTTCGTGCTATTTTCTCGTACGAGACGGACGAAGATTGTCAGCATGGAGGCTGTTAAGATAGCGGTGTCCTTCGTGGCTTGTATGGCTGCAAGTTAAGACATGGTATCGTTCATCTCATACCCCAGTGATCGACATAAGAGTTTAGCTCCTAAGCAGCACGTAAGCCGGCTCTTAGGACCCATATCGTATGATAGCAGCTAAGAAGTGATCCGTCACTTCGATCCCGACCCTTAAGGAACCTCAGCGTTGCTCTGTACTACCTACAGTTGATCCCATTCACCTCGTTTGAACATTGCATATATTCAGTCTGGATGATTGACGACGACTTAATGACGAGCATAGGTAAATCTGAAGGTCAGTAACATGCTACTCTAGAGTGGCATGATATGATGCTCCCTAGGGCAGTCATCCCTAAAGCATGCAGGAGGCGGCTAAGCAAATTCTCCATTTGCGGCAAATGAGATTAAGAGTTTAAAGACGGGAGACGGGAACAAAGCTCATTGGACCCAAGCTTTCCTAGGGTTGGAACGAACCTCAAACCTGCCGTGAGGTGAGGGTGGTATTGAAGGCTTCCATCGACTTTGCAATTTCATAAATGAAGGTTGCCTTTTGTCCCTGGGCTTGGTTCGCTAGATTGACACGAAGGAGTGTGCGGGGGACACTTTGTTAATCCTAAACTCTATCGTAATTAATTGTCAGATCTGCGGCAGGGATCCATTATAGTGTTTTAGCCGGAATTGGTTGGTTCTGTTCGCTTAGTATCTCGTCCAGGTACTTGGGCGTCTTGGCCATGGTTCGGTGGGTCGAAGACGGTAAGAGTAACAGACCACCAAGGGAAAAATATTTAATCGCCATAAATGATCTATAGATGATCTATAGCCAATCAAGTATTCGATTCATCGTCAATATTGTTCCTGAGATACCCGAGTTGGGGATTTAGTGGGTTTGTCTTCTATAGGTGTGTCTATAGGCGTGTCTATAGAAAGACATGTGATAACTAGATGGGGTTAAACCTTTATAAAAGGGGGAGAGTTTATGCCTAGATCCAAGGACTTAGCCAAATATGTATAAGTATAATAAACAGCAGAACGCATAAAATTGTGTATTCCTAATGGAACAATACCCTCTGAAACAGGTAACAGGTGAGTCATTTCGAAGAATGAGGCTGATGAAACTACGAAAACTTAATGTAGAGTTGTCAAGGTTCAAAATAAGATGTCGCAGCAGCAGAGGAGACACAGTAAGATTAGCATCTGCATAAAACGACCAGGAGCTTAGTGAATGTGGGTTCCGGGAACTTGGATTTCTCTTTATGATTGTAAGAGCCGAATATTGCCAATGTTCGGACCAAATCTCGGACAGTAACCTTTAGCTTAGAGGATGGCCCAGGCTCTTTATAGGAAAGGCAATGTTCTGCGTGGGTTATAGAGACTTGCGGGAATGATTCCTTGCCCACCTTTAATATGTTATGTTGGTTGGAGCGCCGTGCCGTGTCTTGGCGAACTCGATTCAACTGCAATCGGCCGAATATGGGTACGCAGCGGCGACTTGCATCGGAGCATAGCTGGCTCTGTGCCATTACTGTGTATGGACATTAGGCGGTGTTGTATATATGATACGCTGTGCAAAGAGAATTCCTCAGAGATTGGTAACTGTCCTGAGGTAGAAAAGGAGACAACCTCGTTTATAAACGCGGCTGCTGTCCTGTCTATTCCCGCTGCCAATTATCGTTATCTTCATCTAATGTCATCCACTAGGGGAACTACCGCTTCGCAGTTACGATCGGGAAGCGGATGCCGACGTTTTATGTGTTTATATGAGGCTAGAGCCGTTAGACCGTTCTCATCGTTCGAAGGTGCTTGATTGGGTCGAACGCTTCTAAGGAGCGGAAAGGATGAAGTGTGCAGGTTATGTAGTTCCAGGGCTCAGGGCTCAGGGCTCAGGGCTCAGGGGCTCAGGGCTCAGGGGCTCAGGGCTCATGTTCTTGGTCCTTTCTGGCCCTTGTAGAAACCCTGCATACATAAAATCTAAAGTGACAAATCTGACAAACCCCCCTACCCTGGTAGGAGATGGGAAGGAATATAATACCTAGCATGAGGGTTCTTGTATATCGGCTTTATAGGACGGGACGGACATGGATACCTATATACTAGTAAGTATACATGTGTATTTGAGCAGGACAGAAAACAAAGTCTCTATATAGAAGATTGATCAATACCTCGTTGTATAGTACCTTGGGAATAAGCGCGTGTGAGTAGATACATTATACTTAGTATATGTAACAGGTATGTATCTAACATTGTATTGGTATTAAAATTGAATTGGTAGGATTGTAATAATAAAATTTTCAAGTTTTTAAACGTACGGAGCAGGGTCAACGAAAAGGATTGAATGAGGTATCATTGAATAAATGTATCATCCAACGATGTATCATTACATGTAGATGTATAGATGTATAGATGTATCGGCGGGGGGGGGGGGGTTTCTTATTCCTTCCCCTTTTCGGTTGGTGAACTAGGTACTACCCGGTAACGTACTGATGTACTTACCTCTTAGCCCCCAGTATACCCAGGTATGAAGTACATACACTAACTAGCCGACATACACTACGGTTTCCCAAAATCATTTCGTTATTTTGTGTATTGTAGGACAAAGTTTCTACGAACTCGTACCTACTATGTAATACGCGCAGGCGTTCGGCTTAGTAAAGTCCCCTGCTCTTGCACTGTCTGGGGTGCTGCTGGAATAGCGCACACTACTATGTACGAAGACTAATAAGAGCAAAACCCGGATTTCAGGGTAGCATGGCTTATCCACCGGGCTGCATTCTTTTACATTCTTTTTTACATACATGTATGTACATACCTCATACAGGCAATTACATTATATATATTGTACCTACCTAGTATTGTATTAGGTATTCTGGTATTGTATATTCTCTAGTTATATTATTACCTACCTACTAAGGTGTACCTAACCAGCCTAACCTAACATTTTTCATCCCACCTGGGCACTCTCTCATACCTTACCTTACATACAATACCTCCAATACAACCACCAATCTATCCTACCCAGCCAGCAAGCCAGCCAGCCAGCCTACCCAAGCCCAGCATCCCAAGCCAGTACCCAAGCTACCCTCCAGTTACCCTCCATCTCACATTTCTTGGCACAAAAACAGGGCTCATCCCCTTGCACTCGAATGTCTCGAACAGGTTCCTGGAGGAAACGCATCCCTTCCAAGAGCCAATGCCGATAAGGTCAGAGTCTTGCGGCAACGCGGTCCAGTGCGGTCCAGCACCGCCCTAAAATCGGAACCAAGCGAGAAAAGGCTGCCCTTACATAGCCTGGAACGGCACGGCGTAAGCACCCAACCTAGTATAACATCGTATTGCATGCTTTTGATCAGGAGGCATCTTCGCTGCTGTGTCTGTTGTGTTGCGTACAGCGTACAGAGCATGCACAATATAGTAGCTGGCAAGCCACTTATTATTAGGCGGGCCAACAAGGCAGTTAATTCTCCTCCAATGCGGTGCATGTATGTAGACGAGACGGAACCGGACAGGGCCGGTAGCTGCAGCATGCGCTCACCCGTGGCGGTAGGCATTCCAGAATCTGGGATTGTGTCGTGCTTACACACTTGGTAGCAATGTCACAGTGCCCACGACTCTATCCAGGCCGGTTGAGATACATAACACGGCTCGGTTGGATCGTCTATTTCTCGATCAGCAAGAGGACAGACGGCCCGCGCGACGCTTGCCCGGTTGTCTGTCTACTTGCCTGCTTGTCTGCTTGTCTGTCTGCTTGTCTAGCTTAATAAACGCCTCATGCTGTACGAAAAGCTCGACTCCACCGAAATGTTACAACGGTTGGTGATGCAACTGCTGACGCCCTCAGTACCAAAGAGTGACTGCGAATGGAACATTAACGGTTTTGTGGCCAAGTTCCGGGCTCACATTGCTCGAATGGCGAATTGGCCCGAATAAGTGCCACGGGGTGCGTCCGTGTCCACACCTGTGGTTCGTCTATTCCCCTGGATACACGATTGCACTGATGTTCATGAAACCATCCATGTCCGCGGAAATCTCTGTCGGCGGAAAGAAGAAGAGGAAGAAAAAGGGCACAACACCATTAACTATCATAAGAAGAAAAAAGGAATGTTTGAGGGGTCGAGTCTCCCTCATGCTATGCATCTACATAGTTCTAGCCTGTAGGTGGCAACAAACAACCTGCTGCAGCTCTAGGAACCCGACAAATAGTCCCTGCGCGGTCCTCAATTCTTATGCTTTAGGCTTTGGGATCCTACGCCAAATAGAACTTGGCGTAGTATCACTGGTCTTCCTGTCGAAACGACCGAATTGGGCGATGGGTATTTGTTAGGTGCGGATGAAGCTGGCTGACGGGCATCAAAAAGCAAAAGGCATTAGCCAACTAGTCTTGCCTCTCTCCCCCCCCCTCTTCCAGATTTCCTTAATGTTTATCCTTATGGTATAAATCAGCAGTATAATCAGTCCGGCAGATAGTCTGCCTTACTGGCCGCATTAAATCATACTGGCATGGCAGCGAATGGCGGAAGAGTAATTAATGTCGAGCGTTGGATACCGGGACTGTCAGGATACGGGCGGCAACACCCACGCCATGATGAAAAAAGCCCATTTATGGTGGAGCAGAGCAGAGACGGTACGGATATTATTGACGTTAGTGAGAACAATGGGGGAGATGCCGTGGCTGAATCGGGATTGTTTGGAGTTGGTTCGTCCCGCTTTGCTCCCCGGAACTTACAAGGATTCCCTTCTACATAGAGGCAAGGATCAGATTGCCCCCCAGCCCGCTAGATCGCAGCACATCAGCAATATCTGTTCTTGGTGGGTGTGTTATGTCTCTCCCACGCCCCAGGGGCCAGGACAGCGGGCTGAGAGGGGGACCAGAGGGCCCAAATACTCGGTTTTCACGCCTCAACCGGAACTCGCTTCCAGTTCCACTCCTGCAACTCTGCCGTCTGCCAGCTTACTGTTTTGGACTAGTCTCTGCCTGGCCCTTGTTTCTGTGCAACGTCCCTCTCTCTTTTCTGTGTTCTACCGTATGCCGACCATTTTCTCATTTATCACCTCTCCAGCCGAGTCTTGTTAAGTACATCCCCATGCTGTTACAGCTGTTGTGCCAACTAGCCTAGATTGAATTTGGTGACTTCTCGCGTGTGTACCGAGCCTTGGAGTAGAGTTACCTACCTAATTCAAAGAGTCCCAGCCTATTTTGCTGTCGCGGTTCTTTAAGGGGGTGCCTCGACAAGACGTCTTCGCCGGCTCTATCATACGGTTAAGGGCCTCTACGAACTGTCATCCCTCCACGTCCTCAGTCTAGAACTTTGCTCGAGCGCCATATTTACAGCAGAGAGCAGCTCGTAAGTCGCCGCTTACGTCTGTGATTCTGTCCTACACGTCAGACACGTTATTCATCTTCCGTGCCCTCCAAGTTACCAGAACGACGTCGACGATCGATTTCAGCATAAAGTCGAAGGAGTATACTGCCATAGTTGCACTGCAGCTCTAGTAGTTTTTCCTTGCAGGGATATTCCCGGCCAGCTCTACCGTATCGACCTCTCAGTGCGCTGTTCGTCGACCACAGATATGTAAATAACCGCTTCCTACCACAGAATTTTCCAGTATACACTTTCAACCTTCAGCCCGCGCGGGTGGAATCGGAGCGCACTACGTCTAGGCTTTTACGGCTTCAGTCACAGCCACATATCTCGACGGTTGTTGTCTTGGTCCGTCCTCGAATTTTATCACAGCCTTTGGAGTCAACTTCCAACAGAATCAGTATCACCGACACCATATGACTAACTGTCAGCTTCCACTTGTGTGATTTACCCTTCTAGATTAATTCTATATAGTCCCACCACGACCCCTATCTGTGAGCTATCTACATTCATCAGTCTTCGCTTTATATTATTCGCTGCCGTCGAGGTTCCATCGTACGGCGACTTCTGCTGTAATACCATGGTGGACACTATGGCCAGGCCACCCGACTCGTGGGCCCAGGACCCTTACGCTCCTCGACATGGTTCTTACTACCCTCAAGAGCAACGCGGCCATGAGCTACGTTTACCTCCACTACCTAGCCTAGTGACCGGACCACACGTGAATCAAGAGCTTCTGAATAGACAGCAACCGGCAGCCTATGCGCCTACCCAGTATGGGGAACCCTACGCAGCCTCTCCGCCTCTCCATCACAGTCCACGGCCACCAATGCCAGGCTCTGAGTTACACACGATGGCACCGAATCCTTATACTAGACGGCCAGTAGAAGCAAGCGTCTGCTCCCGCCCCGCACATTCACCGAGTATAGGTAGCCGGTCCGGGAAGACGCCGGAGCGTATTCAACTACGGCAACCGGGCGGCGAGCCGAGCCCCTTACAGGCTCACAGACTACCTTTGCAATCGAGGTCAGCAGGGGAGTCGCCTCGACAGCGTCACTACGCAGAAATTCACGCAGTTAGACCTGCTTCAGAATATCCCCAACAAGATCTTCGTCTTCAGCATTCTCCACGAACGGTACATACTCCACGACAGACGTGGCAACCTCAAGCTGAATCTCGTGCCCCGGAGCGGATGAGGATATCGGAGCTATTAAGTGACGAGCCGAGAACTGGAGAGTCGGGCTCGTCTAAGGCACCAGAGCGTAGAAGAGCTCCCGCCGCCGCCCCTTCGACGTATAAGCTTAAGGTCCGCCAGCAACCGGTTGCTGCTAGGTCTTGTGGTTTTGGCGAGAGGGATCGCAGAGTCATTGATCCACCTCCAATAGTCCAGGTATTTATCGAAGACACTAAGGCGTCACAAGAGGAAATTCGTGCCCAACTCAAGTTCCGATTCTCGGTCATGCATTGTACGATATGGAACGAGACAGGTGACCAAGACTGCTCGGGTATGCCAGACGATTACAGACAGCAACGAAGACTCATGGGAACGATAGTGTCATCACCCTTCGTCGGGTTTGACGAAAATAACGAAGAGGGATGCTTCTTTTGTTTCCCCGATTTATCCTGCCGGACTCCTGGCACCTTTCGGTTGAGATTTAGTCTGGTGGTTCTGGACCCAAACTCGGTACCCGGGTCAAGAACCCCAGTATGCGCCATCGCCATGAGTGATGTATTCACAGTTTATAATGCTAAGGATTTCCCGGGCATGCGAGCCAGCACGGCACTAACGAAGAGGTTAAAGGAGCAAGGATGTCTTATTTCTATTAAAAAGGGAAACGAGAGGAGCCATGCGCGTGACGATAGCGAAGAGGATGAGGATGATGACGATGACGGTGGGAGTTCGGCACAGCGACGAGCGAAGCGGACTAGAAAATCATGACATTCTCTCGAGTCTCAGGGGTCGCCCTTTTTTTTGACGGATTTAAAACCTTAAACCAACCTACCTTTTTACAACAGCAGCCTACAATTTACGAACAAAAAACACAGTATAGTCGTCTATGGGCGCATTACTACCTCATGGCTTGGACATAACGGCTTGTACGGAAAATAACGAAGGGGCATATACGACGTGCCACATAGAGATGGATAAAAGGAACATATATGCTTACAACGGCGAACAACGATTGTGCTGGTATGGAAATGGAATGGGGTTAGAAGGGAAAGCGATGGTTGGTTTGTTTGACTTCTTGTATTCGAATGACTACCTCCTGAGTTTTGGACAGCGTCCCGGAATCGTTTATGGAATACATTATGGAATACCCTAGATCTACCTCGAGCTCGATTTTGGACGATATTACGGAATTTACGATTGGAACATTCAGGGGGAGGACGGTTAGAATTATTACCCATTTACCACTTAGCCTTATTGATCGATCGTATTTCGAAGCCGGTATATCTTTTTTTTTTTTTTTTTCTGGCGCCATGCTTTTTTTAATATTTACTGGAGAATAATTATGTGCCCGAATAAGCTGCCGCTGTTTCTGCTGTTTCTCTACTGTTTCTCTTAACGAGATAAGTCGGTTGAGCCGATTGTAGCCTACTAATTTGCACGTAAAGGGGTAGAGATTTACTATCCCTTAACTGGGTTTGTATCTTTGTATAACTACCTGTTATAAGTACGATATGAAGCATGATATGATTAGTAAGTATCTAAGATAAGATCAGATCAGATCCGTCAGATTAATTCTAATGTCAATGTTTCATTCGACACGAAATGATAAATTATGAATTAAGCACCTAACATTAATAAACGCCAATTGACATTCTGATAGGTATGTCTATGTCCGATCGTTTTATTTTTATTTTTTTTTCCTGATAGAAGATGCCAAGAATCTCAAGGGTCTTTCCGTTTGTAGATTAGATTAGCTCTCAACAAGCTTATCTTAGGCTCCGCAACGGAGGAATTAGTACTAATCACGGACTAGTGTCACTTGAGGCACAGTAGTCTAAGTCAGCTTCAACCCGCCGGGACTGCCCCAAGGAAAAAGTCGGGCGGAAAATCCCAACGTTGAATTTTTGAGTGACTTTCCGTCCGGAGCTCTCCATCTTCCAAAATTCCAAATTCCCACCTTCTAGCAAACAAGACTCCCCCCAACCCAAGATCTAAACCCTACGATCTAACGTACCTTGGGTGTTTTTTTTAACTTCAATCTTCTTCACCTCCAAGGTTCCTCCCTCCTCTTTCGTCGCGATAACGGCCATAATGTTCTCGCGCGCTCTGCGAGTTCCGAGAGCCGCAGCGCCTTTAGCGCGTGTCCGAGCTGCCAGACCCGTCGCTATCGCACCTTTTCGTTCAGTCACTACAAACGCTGCTACCTCGCATGCTGACAAGAATGCCGTTCCCGATGCCGACGACAAGCCCTTTCAAGTCACCCTAAGTGACGAGAGTTTCGAGACATATGAGCTCGATCCCCCTCCCTATACTCTCGACGTCACCAAGAAGGAGCTCAAGCAGATGTACCACAACATGGTCACTGTCCGGTAAGCGTCGCAATTGGCAAACAAGCCTGCCATTTTCGGCTGAATCATGTTTACTAACAGCCGCACAGACAGATGGAGATGGCTGCCGACCGATTATACAAGGAGAAGAAGATCCGAGGTTTCTGCCATCTTTCCACAGGTCAAGAGGCTGTCGCCATCGGTATTGAACATGCGTTAACCAAGGAGGACGACATTATTACCGCCTACCGATGCCACGGCTTCGCCCTGATGCGCGGAGGTACCGTTAGATCCATTATTGGTGAGCTACTGGGCCGACGTGAGGGTATCGCCTACGGAAAGGGTGGTTCTATGCACATGTTCACCAAGGGCTTCTACGGCGGTAATGGTATCGTCGGTGCCCAGGTCCCCGTCGGTGCCGGCTTAGCTTTTGCACACAAGTACAACAACACTAAGAACGCCGCTGTTATCTTGTACGGCGACGGTGCCAGCAACCAGGGTCAGGTTTTCGAGGCTTTCAACATGGCTAAGCTATGGAACCTGCCCGCTCTATTCGGCTGCGAGAGTATGTGTTCGATATAATGGTCCTTCGCCATAGCTAACATGTTTTAGACAACAAGTATGGCATGGGTACTGCTGCTGCTCGATCATCTGCTCTTACCGACTACTACAAGCGCGGCCAGTACATCCCTGGTCTTAAGGTAAACGGCATGGACGTCCTTGCGGTGAAGGCCGCTGTCAAGTACGGCAAGGAATGGACCGTCGCCGGCAACGGCCCTCTGGTTCTTGAATACGTCACATACCGATACGGTGGACACTCTATGTCCGACCCCGGCACCACTTACCGAACCCGTGAGGAGATCCAGCGCATGCGATCGACCAATGACCCCATCGCCGGCCTCAAGCAGAAGATCCTCGACTGGGAAGTCTGCACCGAGGATGAGCTGAAGACGATCGACAAGGAGGCCCGCAAGCACGTCAACGACGAGGTCGCCATCGCTGAGGCCATGCCCGTCCCCGACACCACACCGCAAATTCTGTACGAGGACATCTACGTCAGGGGAACGGAGCCGCAGTTTATGCGTGGCCGTATACCCGACGAAAACTTCTACTTCAGCTCGTAAATTTTCAGCCGTTGGAGTATGTAGTAAGCGCCGGACGTGAATGAAGCATTAAAATATCCCCTTTTTTTTGCAAACATCCCTGTAGTGTAAAATATAAATGGGCAGGCTAGGCTGGGGGGGGTTGGAGTAATGAATGAAGAAGTCAAATGTTTCGATTACGCCCCGATCATCAACGTAGCTAGCTAGCTAGGTACCTAAGGTAGCTATCCATCCGCGTGGCTAGAACCTGATCTAGTCGAAGCAAGCCTTGTTTGTGGCTCTGAGGGAAAAATAGACGAGCGATGATACCAGGTTATTCTGCCCTGCCGTGCCTTGTGTTTCGGTGATAGTAGTGATTGGGTTGTTTGCTTTGCTAAATGGGTTTATGACTCTAATATTTTGGTGACTTGTATGTGTGGGTTGGCTACCTTAGGTACCTAGGTAGGTAGGTAAGGAAGGACGGATTCGACTAGGTTAGGAGTAAATTGAAAACGGGCTACTGGTTCAGATATGTGATACTTCAGCAGTGCAACTCTTCGGTTTTGTATAACTATTAAGAAGCCTCACAATCAATTTACAAATTTGTCGATTTTATTTAACACGTTTCCTTATGGAAATGGAAATGGAATTATATCACGCGCATCGCTATCATTTCGACTGCTCATCTATAAATATAGGAGAGGAAACCCGTAGATATCGACTTGGTAGCATCGAAGTAGACTTAATGGTTGGCTAAGGATGAATATTTTTAAGATAGATGTCTATCTAGGTATATATCTCCTATTCTCTTTTTATAATTCGTCCCCTCTTTCCATCCCCTTTTAGAAGGGTAGAAGATAGAACATAACATAGCATATGCTCACTTAAAACGCCGATAGAACTTTTCTCGGCATAACACATCCGAGACCACTCACCCCCCTTTTTATTTTTATTTTCCATTTTCCTATCCTCCCCCCGTTCCCCCCTTTCCCGCCTCACCCTTCCCTTCCCTCACCCCCTTTTATTTCATCCCACTCCAGCCAAGTCCATTCAATTCATTCATTCGCTAATACGCTTCCTCCCCCCCTTTTCCTTCCTACCGCATATTATCCCAGCTCCCCCACCACCGACAACTCTGCGCCACGGCCGCGACGTTCGCCAACGCGTCGCGCACCCGGCCCTCCGGGTCCCGCAGCCGATGGCCCTCGAACTCGACGAAGAAGACGTACTGGAACGGCTGCGCTAGGCTCGGCCGGCTGTTGATGCTGGTTAGGTTGAGGCGCGCGCGCCGGAAGCACTCGAGCACGTCGGCCAGGGCGCCGGGGGATCGGTGCGGGACGGTGAAGGACACTAGGGATTTGCTGTGCGAGTAGATGTCGCTATCGCTATCCCCGTCTCCTCCATCTGCGTCTTGGTGCCCCCGCGCCCGCCGCCGCTCGCTAAGGGCTTCCTCTAGCGCCGAGACAGGCGCGCCGCGGCGCCGCACCACGAAGAACCGCGTGGTGTTGTCCTCGCGGTCCTCGATATTGCGCGCCAGGACGTCCAAGCCGAGCATCTGCGCCGCGGTAGCGCTCGAGATGGCCGCGCTGGTCCCGGTGGCGTCTTCCTTGGCCAGAGCAGCGGCGCGGCTGGTCGAGCTGACGTCTATGGTCTCGACGCCCGGCAGGGTCTCGCGCAGGAACTTGGTGCACTGCCCGAAGGCCTGGGGGTGGCTGTACACGCGCTTGACGTGCGTGAGGTTTAGCCGGTTGGAGCGGTGGTAGTAGTGCCCGACTAGGCAGTGGTGCACGTCGAGGTAGATCTCGGCGTGTATGGCTAAGTCGGGATACTCGCCGGCGCGGTCGGCGAACTGGTCCAGAGTGAAGACTACGGAGCCGTTGGATGAGTTCTCGAAGGGCACGACGCCGTAGTCTGCGCGGCCGGATTGCGTTGTGTCGAAGATGTCTTTTTTATCCCGGAGGGGGAGTGTTACTTAGCCTTAAGATGTACAATACGTATGTAGGGTAGGTAGGTAGTGGTATAGTGATAGATTTATTTACCTTTAATTGTGTCTACGGGGAGAAAGTTAAATTTGTCTGTGGGAAACGTGTCTAGTGTAGCCTGTGCGGTTAAGAAAAGGGGTGCTGTCGTTAGCTTTTGAGTAAAGAAAGCGCTGCCCTGAGCGACAGGCTAGTTGATGAGATGAGAGTCGAGGTTCGTGTCGTACCTGGTGCGTATAAGATGAAACCGGACCTAAAAAACACACAGTCGGTTTTGTATCCTGGCCATTCTGGCCATTTTCCTGCTGTTGTCCACCGCTTGGCTCCATCCCGATAAATCTTCGTTTCCGTCTCGTCTTATCTCGTCTTGTCTCGTCTCGTGTTGTAGGGTACAGTGAGAAGACAGGATGAGAAGGACACAATGAAGAACCAGACAAGCCAACAAGCCAATAAGCTAGCTTATAACCCTGACCTAGAGAAAGAAATACACTCTTTGTTATAGCCTCATTTAGGATCCATTACTTGTCGATGAAAGGGAGGCCGAGTTGAGTAAAGGGCGCGCCGTCGAGTTCAAATGTAGATTTTTGACATGAACCCGATCTCCGGACGCCGATTGCAAGCAAGCGCCCCGGTGCTACGGAGCCTAGTTGCCATTAAACCCAGTAGAACCTTATTAACTTTTAGCGGCATGGATTTAGTCCACAATGGGTACAATACAATACCAGAAAATATCTAAGGTAGAGCGGCTATAACCGGGCATAGGTATTGGCCAGCCCTAAAAAGATATAGGTACGTAACCTAGCACCTATTTCACTATTTCACTTCGACTACCTATTATTATCGATACCATCACATAGGTATGTGCCCGTAAATTTCTAGCAAAAACATCTTATTTAGGCCGGATACTTAAATACCCACGCGCATGCGTCCTCAGATTGATAACGAGTGACTCGTATGTTTTATTGCACAACTGACTATCTAATTAAACTAATGAATGTAACGAGCGGTTTGCCACTGCGAAATCATTTCGCAAATACCGACTCTAAACGCAACGCAACGCAACGCAATATCCCGGAACAACTGTCCACGATAACAAGAAACAAAATATACTAGTGTGTCAAACTTGCAGCGAGGCGAGCAGGCTTGTCGTATCGCACTCGACTGCTTAAAGGATGAAGCCCTATGATGTAGGCAGGTCCAACAACTCGGGACATTTGATAGACCCCCAGGTATAGCATCTTTGCGATCCACGTTAGCCACATGTCTCACTATGCTATAGCCGTGAAAATCATACCTCCTTTCTATGCCATAAGTCAACTCAAGCCATCATCATAGAGCGAAGCGGGCTGGGTGTCGCCACCTGTCTGGCCGTGTGCTCCGAATTTGCGGGGCCAGATTTTGCCAAACGTCGCTGAGCGAACGAAGTTGCCTTTGGTTTTCGCGCTGGTCCGGAGACCGGCGCCGGGGCTGGCGCGGGGAGTTGCGGCAGCGGACGCTCCGGTGCTTTCACGATAGATGCCTGCTTAGATGGGACAGCTTGAGCTTGCCCCTCGTCAAGAACGAGGGATTCCTCAAACTATATACGCGCTCACGTTAGTGCTTATACAGAAAAAAAGATTCGAGAGGCATTGCTGAGAGAACAGGAAAATTTTCAACATGTTTTTGTGATTTGATATAAAAGAACTTTGACTTCATACCTGTCAATCGTCGTAGTAGTCATCATCGTCATCCACTTCGGCTAACTGTTCGAAGTTCACCTTGTAACGGAGAATACCACCAACACCACCAAATCCCTTCACGAACTGATTGCCTTCGGTCGATCTATCCGATACGAATTCTAGGTTGGTTCCGAAATCCTTGTAGTGCTCTGCAATCCACTCGAGGAAAGAATCCTGGGAAACTACTTCCATCTCCTGTCCGCTTTCCTTGTCCATGAACTTGGAACGATCGCCAGTCTCTTGCTGCTTAGTGGTGTGGAGAATAATCTCAGCGTTGTTGCTATCCTTTAGGACCCATCGCGTAATTTCGAGATTTTCGAAGACGATCAAAGTCTCCACTGCGCCAAGCTCCAGCGCCTTGAGCGTGTCCTCGATACCATAGCAGACTTTGCCGGTATCCTGGCTGATCTCCTCAAAGTACTTGCCAATGAGCTTCTTCTCCTGGATAAACTTGACATTTCCTAGAGTCTCAGAAGACAACTCGATAGCTTGGTTGAAGCCGTTCTCGCCACCGTATGACACGTCGACAACCTTGATAACCTTGGTCTGTAGTCGATTGTCGAACATGTCGGAGGCATTAAGATCGTTTTTGAAGTCGGCGGAACCAGCAAGGATGATACCAGCAACATTGACCTTGTCGTTGGTGATAAAATTCTGAACAGCCAACTCGGCAACTTTTCGGACGTAGTTGTGTCGCTTTTCTTCTCTAAGACGCGCGAAACGAAGGGCAGACTGTCCACCACGACCGTGCTTCTTGGGTAGATCAACCGAGAATTTGTGAACAACGTCACGAGTATTTCCACTAAGAGTACCGAAAAGAGCACCATTACCATCCATGACAATAAAACCAAACTTCTGGTCGGATTCAAGCAGCTCAGCCAAGGCTTCGGTGTGGAATTTATTGTCGCAGAGGTATAGGGAAGTGTTGATGGGCTTAAAGGGCTCAAAGTCGATGTTGACCTTTCGTTCCTTTCCTTCCGAAGTCAAGATTTCACCGCAGTAGACAACAAGACCGTTGGGAGGGACCTTGTTGTACAGCTTGAGTCGCTGTTGGGTAGAGGTGATGGCGGAAAGCACAGACTGTCGGTTGACACGAGACTTGATATTCGAGGCGGTTCCCTAACATTAACGGTCAGCTTATTCTCCTAGGTTGAGTCGTGGTGGCCGGTGGCGGAAAGGGATGCAACATACATATTCTTCAGCCAACATCTTTGCTGCCCGCGAAATCTGATCCTTGGGAGCTGTTCCTAGGGTTTAGTATTGTTTTCTATCCAAGTCAATAGCGGGGGAGGGGTAGATTGCATACGGATGATTAGAGAAATCATGCTGGTGCCATTTCCTCGAGCGGCCTCAAGTCGCTTGATGAGCTTCTTGACTTTCCATATCTCAATCTGTAGGCGACATTGTTGTTAGTTGTTGTTGTTATTCCTTATGACATAAGAAGAGAACCCCTTCAAGGCAAATCTGACGGGGCGGTGGAGATGCCGAAGGCTGAAGGCTGAAGGAGACTAGGGAGTATTTATGACGGTGATTTATGACGATGATTTATGACGATGAGCGCACTTACGTTTTTCTCAGCCTCGCTCGCCTGGGCGTCACTCATTTTGGCGTGAGGATAATGAGTGATCTAAGATACGGTCTTTCTTCTGTGGAGTGATGCTTTGGGGGGGTGGTGAAAGATCGATCGTATCAGGTACGGGAGAGAAAAAGGTTGGATGAAATTTTGTGGTCGAAGGAAACAAGGAAGCGCAGGCGGACCCTCGGGGTTTGTGAGGTACCTACGTCAAAATTGCATTGAGTACATGAATATTTGGTATCTCCTAAACAAAAGTGGATGGTTGCTTGTGCTTAAAACCTACGCTAAGGTGATAAGGCGGGGGTGGTTAAAGCCCATACTTGGGTTATTACTAATCACTTTCAAGCCACATTATGGTGTTAGGTACGGATCCGTAGTTGCTCTGTGCTATGCTCAAGCCTACCTACCTAAGCACTAACCGTGCACGGTTAGAGTCTATAATAGCATAAGCTAAGTGGCGCTAATGAATTGAAATTTGACCGCCTTTGGAAAGCTAGGCTGACTTTTGCCCGTGACTCCTAAAGCCCGCACTGACCTTTTTTGACCGGCAAATCGCAACCATGTTCACTCATCTCGAAAACAACACGTCAATCGACATTATTCGGCAATTTCCAGGGTTGGCTATCAACAACCCTCTCTTATTGTAGCTGATGAGGCACAATTTAATGCATAGGTATAAGAGATTACATATTCCACAATATTGGGGAAATATTGTATCTGTTGGCCTTGGCCTTCCTCATACGAAAACATTGTGATGACAGCCTCGGGGCTGAAGCTTTGACAGTTTGACAGAATGGTCAGGAGGTCAGCCTATCAAGAACTATCTTGATTGGGTTGGGTTTTGATGTGCTGAAGGTTGGCGCGCTAGGACGTGGAAGCGATGATTGCCATGTGGGAATGACAATGGATGCGAGGGGGCCGTAGCAAAAGACAGTTGAGCGACCGCTCCTGGGGCTATCGTCCACACCTCCACCATCACCTCGCGTAGGAACCTGCATCCATTATGATTCGTCCACATGTCGATAAATGTCTACTTTTTCTACAACTACTGGTTGATTTATACACCATATGTCAATTATGAGCTTTCATCTTTGGAAGCTTCTTGTTGTGTGGGCTCAACTGCTCGCACAATTTGGTTACTAACTATAATATAGTTGGTATGTTTTCCATTAACTGGGCGGGCGCAGAAGAAGTCTAAAAAGTCGCGATTGAAGAAAAAATTACCCAGCAATGGTTTATAATGTTGAGCGGGTCGCAGGTTCGGAACTGCGATGGAACTTGAACTTCAAGGCTCCCCTTGTACGGATGTCAGGATGTCACGAGAAAGAGGCAAGCCAATAGCAAAAGGCCTATGAAACGAAGTCCTGATCAGGAAAACAGCTTTTCGTATTGAATTGGCATTGGGCAATATACTGAGATGGCCACTGCAACACGGATTACGTCACAGCTTGTTTAGCTGTCATTCTGCCCCTGGTTATCCGTGCAGCTAAGAAAATTGTCCTACTACCTTCGATGGAAGTGAGTTGTGGCAGTTTTTACTTGCTCACGATGGCTTCAATTCCGAGATCTCGGTTGGAAATTCTGCGGGTTGCGGTCTTTGTTGCTCAAAACCGAAGTGGAGCCAAGCGGCTGGGCCAAAGTCACCGTGATGCAACGGCAAGACACGGAGCACAAAAACAGCAAACATGCGGACTATCGATACGATGCATGAATCAATCGAGGTAAGACGAAGTTAGATTTTATGAATCTAGCTTATATTTTTGGGGGGTTTGACTTACTGTATTATATAGTAGCGTTCTTAACATTTATTGTTTTTTGGAGCATGTTACATTCGGCCCATCTCGAGTCAATTGGGCATTCCGGTTGAGACCGAACAGTTTGTATAGGTATACCAAATGATGGAACGATCAACATGTCAAATGAAATTGGCATACAGTGGCCCAGCAGATTCAGCAGATTCAGCAAAGCTACCATCCTTGAGATGATACTACCTCGGATATAAGTGTTGGTTGTTGGGGTTCATCATATGGTACTGATAGTTGATGACTTCAATACGGAGTGATAAGATTAGGAGTATTTTGGTTGACGAGAGATGTTGGGGTTTCAGTGTGAATACCTAGGTAGGTAATGTGGTGGATGAATATGATGACGAGAGACGGAGGTGGTGGTGACGTTGGACCAGTGACAAAGGATTAGGCTTGGCTACGAAGGCGGCTTTGACCATGATCACGACGGACTCGGGGGATAGATGACCTTATGGGCTTTGGATGAGAAGGTATGAGAAGGGGAGGCTGGGGATACCTACATGTAAGGTACGTGTATGTTATGTATACCTTAGGCTTTACATACAAGATGAAGATGTACCTTAGATCTTCCCGTCAGGTAGCTGGCCTTCAGGTAGATAGCTGATCTTAGGTAGCTGGTCCTATGTTTTGTAGCTTAACAAATGCCTAACCTATCAGATCCGGTCTTTCCTTCCCCTGGTTGATTTTGCGGCTCAAGCCTAATAAGGGTGTAATTTTAGCGTTTCCCAGTTTCCCAAATTTCGTGGGCTCCTTGACTTTCTCAAACCTCCACACTTTAATACATCCCACCTTTCCTTTGACCATCTACACCTACATCTACGTCCACGACAATCGCGTCTTTGGAACGACAACAATATCGCACAACATGGCCGACGATGATTCTAGTGAACTCTCTTCCGTCTCTTCATTATCTTCTGCCCCCTCTGAAGATGATAGCGATATCGAGGTAAAGCGGGAAAAGGGCATATTGAAGTTCTTCCATAAGCTTCCCCCGGGTACCAAACCTGCAGAACCTAAGAAGGAGGCAACTCCTCCACCACGCAAGAGATCGCCTTCGCCAGCTCATGAATACGTTCTAGCTGATAATCCAGACATTGCAGTATGTGATTAACTCTTTTGTCGCGCCAAAAACGCGAAATGTCGCGTCGTTTTTTTAATATGAGCTAACCAGCTATTTAACTACCTTTTAGTTTATTGTCATGTTCCGTGCCCGTTTTAACGAATCCCTTCCTAAATCCTTAGCCAACTTCGGCCCTCAAGAACTTGAGCGTGACGTATCCGAACCTGTTCCTGGTGAACGTGTTGAACAGTTCCTCTGTGCTGTTCTCAGCCTTTTGTTGAATCGCAAGCAAGATGTCAAGTATGACGCAATACCCAAAATACCCAACCTCGACCTTAACAATTATAGACTCTAACATCTGTTACTAATAGGCCTGGACATTACAATCGAGCGCTAGAAGATGCTATTAGTTCACATAAGAACCAGTGGGCGCGAGATTGGAAAGATGAGAATCCTCTGGCTGGTAATAGGACCTTTGCTTCTATGGATCCTACCGAAAGAGTATGCATAACCCTTCCATTGCAATCATTCTCTTCCTTACTATAGTATGCAACAATTGCTAATATAATGGGTTATCTAGCTAAAACTGCTACGAACTCTCGTAGTTTGGACCTTATCATCGTCGGAAGTCATCAAGGGTATTATCAACAAATCCTACAAGGGAAATCGACACGAAGACGACCTTAACCAACCTTTATCCGTACAGCCTTGGGGATCCGACAGCGACAAGCGCCGTTATTATTTGATCGAAGGTCTAGATGATACCCATTTCCGAGTCTATCGCGAGAGTAATCCACAAGGCTTTAACAGAACATGGTGGAGTGTAGCAGGTAGTATCGACGAACTTAAAGTTCTTGTAGAGAAGCTGCAGAAATCCGATGGCGGCCCGAAAGCCAAGAAATTGGCTCATAAGATGCTGGCTGCTGTCCCCCGCTTCGAAGCCACGGAAGAAAAGCGCAAACGCCGTGAGTACCGCCTCATGCGCAAGGAGCAGTTCAAGCGCCCAGAGAACAACTACTCCATGTACGAAGGTCGAACTAGAGGCAAACGAATAAAGTATACCTATTCTGATGAGGAGGATTTCCTAACCGATTCCTCCGTACGACGATCTTCGCGAAATACCCGAAACCCTACACCCGCAGAGCCGGCTGGTCCCGTTACCACCGCCAGTGGTCGCCAAATCAAAGCCCCGTCGCGCATGACAGTAGATGCTTCAAACAATATCGTCACAACTAGCCCAACAAGCCAAGGTCACAATGAGGCTACTGCGTCAAAGGAGTCGTCAGTCGGTCCTACTGGTCGACCCAGAAGATCAGCTGCCCTCAACCATGGCACAAATGGTTGGGCGTCATCATCCAAGAAGTCAAAAGAATATAATTCCGACGATGATATGGAGGATTATGATGATGAGGAGGAGGAGGATACCGAACCAGAATTAGGTGACGATGAGCAAGATCATGTCCCGGATGAGGATAGCGAAGACGAAGATGAAGATGAGTTCAACGAGGACGAAGAAATGGTCGATGATGACTTAAGTGATCCTACTGGAAAGGACAGTATGATGGTCAAGCTTAAGCTTCCGTCGAAGACGTCCAGTTCTACCGGATCAGCACTCAACTTGGATGAATACCGTTACAACGGGAAGAAGGAAAATTCTAAGACTCCGACATCAGCAATGGAGAACGGTGCAAGCCAGAAAGATTCTACGCCAGAGCCAGAGGAGAAGAGCGAGGAGGTCATATCAGTGGCAACGACGAAGAAGCAGGCCACCCCGGATCCGGAGCCCTCTACCGCCGAGAAGAATAACGAGCAGCGCCAACGCCCTCCTTCTACCCCCGCACTAAGCTCGCTTCAGTCGACCTCGTTGGCTTTTAGGGAAAGCCCGGATAAGGTCCAGCAGGCTCTACCCAAGCACGTTGGTGTCGGTGCCGGAGAATAGAACAACTTGAATATCTTGCCAGTTTTTTTTTGGCCTCGAAGAGAAGAGGCTTGGAGAGTGATACCACGTGATGTATTTCCTATTATTTGAGAGGAAATATCTGCGTACGACTCGAAACTTGCAAGAGGGTTGCTGTAATCCTCGGGAATCAGCAAGAAATGTAATATCTGTCCTTTTCGGAGATATCAACCACAGTATAACATAGAGTGAAACTGAGGGCGAAAGTGAAAGCAAAGAACAGCGGCGATGTTCTGCTGATACCCAAACAGACAAGTAGGCAGGCAGGCATGCATGCATATGTATTTACACTTGCTAAGTTACTCGACGACGACGTCGCAGTTACATCGATCTGATCAGACGAGTATCTGCGCTAATTTCTATAGATGAGTACCATAGCTACAGATAGCTTCGCACCGTCGGCTATTGTTTATTCCCCCACGATAGCCTATATTCTTGTCTACCTAGGTACCTAATTAATAAAATCGCACAGACATACATAATGTCACTTTGCGGTTTCCCTCCCCCCAAAGACCAAGACTTCAATGATACCCAGGTATTATGCTACTACTCCTGCTTCCTCCTTTATTTTATTTACGTGCTCCAGCTCCGACCCCCGAGACACGTCCGTCCGTAACACGCGTATAGACTGGGCATATCGCAGGGCTCGCGTCTAGCAAGCCCGAGACCGAGACCGGGGCTGATGTCGAGGCTGGGTTGTGGTGGTGGTGGGCGTGAAGTCGACTGCTGCCGCGCCAATGTTATTCTCTCTCTTCCGTTGTATCTGTACGTATATATATGTATATGTGTGTATGTATGGTATATAAAGAAGCATAATATTCAAGCTCTTGCCTTAACCTTTCCGCCAGCTCCCGCCAGCTTCTTCTGTCCGGGCAGCGGCCAATTATTCACGCCGTACCACCAGCGGCGCAGGCGCGCGCCCACCGAGGTCCCGCTGATCTGGGCGTTCTTGTTCCAGTGGTGCCAGCCGTGCAGCGCCAGGTTATATAGGACGCCTTGGGCGAACGGCATCATCATCTACACACGTTGGGGGTAACTCTCAGTCAGCTATTTAAATATCTCTTTTTCTCCTTCTTCTTCTTCTTCCTCGCAAGATAGATGGCAATAAATAAAAGAGGCGCAAGTTTACCTGGTCCCGCACCGTAATCCACGCCACCTTCCACCACGTATCCGCCTTGGCGATGCTGTGCAGATAGCTCTGCTCGAAGCGCAAATCCGGCATGGGCGGGAGATTCCTAGATCTGGGATGGGGCTTCAGCACGCTGATTGGGATCTCGCTTTCGTCGTCGTCGGCTTCCTCGTAGTCGTCTAGGTCCGAGTCGATCGAGTGTCGTTGTTGCAGGTGCACGGGTTCTTTTTCCGATAGCGAGGATGGCGGGTTTAGGTCGTGACGCGGGGACGGGTCTCGCTGGATATGTGCCGTCTGGATCGTCTCGGCGATCTGTGTTGGTATGTTTTCTTCCATGGCGTCTTGGGCCTTGGGAGCTTGGGTTAGAACGGCGAGCTGTTTGCTGTTTGCTGTGTCGTACCTTAGGTAATGTAGAGGTTACATAAGGTTCAAATGGTTGTATGAAGCTTGAGCTTGGTGGGTTGTACAATACAAAGAGGTAGTCCCTGTAAATGACGTTTTGTTATGTACAGGTGATAGCAACTGCCAAGATTAGAATATACAGGGGTACGTTAGTAGCTTCTCGTCAAATACATACATATGTACCTACCTAATATATACCTATGCATATAGGAGATATAATAATTGGATGCAATAGACGGATACCTACACCAAGCCAACTCTCACAGTAATAACCACCTTACATATTTTAACTGTTAACTTTGATTAGGCAAATTTCTTTTATTCTGTTAGGTACCTAATCTACCGATCTAGTCTATTCTTCATAGAGCAGCCAACCTCGTCTACCAACAGTAATAAACGAGTGTTAACCTATTTCTTATACCAAGGTCCAAGACCCTAGAAAAGGGGCCAAGACAAGCCATGAGTGTCTACCAAACAAGCACAACTAGCTACTACCGCTCAAGGGTAGAATCCCATTTTTGATGCTATAGCCATATCATAATCGTCCGTCAGCAACGACTCCTCCGAACTTCCCAGCTTGTGCTTAGCAAGAGCCGATATCCCAGGATCCCGTATGTTGTCATCATCCAGGGACGCCTTATCAGCATCATATACGTAAGGTCGTTTGTATTCTTGTATCGTGTATATCTCTGATTCTGTGGCTATGCTGGAGCCCGTCTGCGGAGTCGTAGACTCTGTCATCTCTTCCTCTTCTTCGCTCCGTCCATCCATCGGCGACCCGACGTACTAGTTGTCTATTGCCTCCTGTATGTTGAAGATGATTGTTCCTGGCAGAAGAACCCTACTCTCCGGCGGTCTGAAGTTGGGCGAGAATAGTTGGATAGCGCGAACCTCGGGGGCAAACGCTGCAAAGCTGGAGTAGTACGGCTTGAATCGGGTACACAAATCTTTGAGAGCAGTCTCAAGATCAGGATAACGCTTTCTTGGCCAGGGCTTGCTGTTGTCGCTTTTATCGGGGATAAAAACGTATACCCTGGACTCTATACGTCGAAGCCTTTCCCTGATCTCATAGTCAGGGATCGGCTTGTACGGTTGGTACCCTTGCCCTCGCATGATTACTGAGGTCTCTAGTATGTGATCAATCCGGTGCATAGGAACTTTCCAGTTCTTAGGTGTCCCGTCCAAATTGACACTATCTTTCACTGGATAATCTACAGAACCTCCATCGCTCGCGGCGGTCGGAAGATCCTCTTGGCTGGCTCTTGGTCCTGCCCTTCGCTCGGCAACTGCTGGATCAGGACGCTTAATTCGGACAAAAAAGCGTTCTGGAATGGGAGAAGGTTGCCTAACTATCGGCTCTCCCTGTCCCGCCACAGCTTCTTTTGCTTCTGTGTTAGCCTTGAACCAAATAATAGAAAATAGAAATGCGGCCACGTAATATGAGTGACCGTAGTTGTGATAGAGGATAGTTGAATGCAGAGTAAACATATAGAAACCCGACTATTGAAACAAAGAGAAGACATCCTTACCATTCGAGTTCGCTGCATAATATCTATCAAGGCTATCAAATATACTTATATTGAAGGGCGTACTTGGTGATCGATCCACATGCAACTTTTCCCCTACTTTAATGTTCGCAACCATCGTGTCTAGATCAGGAAGTCGAGGAACAGAATCCCGGCCGGATGATGTGCTGGATATATGGCCCAAGCTATTGCGCCTTGGGATACCTTTTGGGATACCTGGAAAGTTGATCAACGTGCCCGTATTTTCCGGGCTAGTTTGATACTCGGTTGATCCATCTTGTGATAGTTGAGAGCTTATAGAAGAGCGAATACCCCTGAGTGACGACGATATAGAACTGATGCTCTTCCGTATGACAGACGGGCGGCGGCCCTGATCATCGCTGCCAGTAGAGGTATCCGAGGAAAACCTGTCTCTTAGAGACGACGAAAAGGAGTTGATGCTCTTTCGAATCAAGGATGGCTGCGGATCCTGGTTTTCCTCGCAGACTTGACTGTGCTCTATATGCTGCTGCAATATTGGGAGAGACTTTTTACGATCGAGACCCAGCACGAAACGCCGTCGCAGAGAGTATTGCTTGGCCCTCAATTTCTCTGCTATAACATGTCGATCCTTAGTTGGCGAAGGCATTGGAGGATCTGTCAAGCATCCCGAATCTTCTACGTCGACTTCGGGGCGAGTCGTGGTGCGTCTGCGTAATCTTTCCCGAAGGCTAGCCATTATGCCTAGTATAATCAGTAATTCCGAATACTAAATTGACTGGCTCCGATGAAAGTGGGATGGAAGCAAGTAGTAAGGATAGAAACTAATTGACTACCTAAGTATTGCTTGATGGTTTTGGCCGTCCAAGAATGTATAGCAATAAGAAAAAGAGAAGGGGGAAGGGGGACGAATTTGTAGGGTTCGTTGAATAAGAACAGAGCATCCAGAAAATTACGAACAGGCCGTCTGTTCTTTCTTTAGTATGAGCACCTACCTCTCTGATATACCTATATACCTTCGCTGCAGGTGCGGACGTAAGAAGTACGGGCGGCTGCGAGATGAATTACTCGAGTCTATCATTTAGAGTAACCTGAATCGAACAGGGGGCGAGTTATAGTTGCCCTTATTGATTTGTTTATACGATAGCATTTGCAAGATAGGTAGTACCTGATATATACTTTAAGTAAATATGTTCCATGTTCTATAGAAAGGGGTATTTTAGCCTCATGGTCCGTAAATGTACGATTGTAATATTTATTATACATAGAATCGAGGGAAAGGTACAGATAACTGCCAGCTCCTAGTAGCGGCCGGTTTCCTAATCTGATGTCCATATGCGTTGAATTAGTGGTTTACTCTGAGGATATTTCCAGGGCGTATGTGTATGATCTTCACCGTCTTCGCCCTCGCCGTCCTCTTCCTTAGTATTCTCGTCCTGTCGGAATCCAGGATACATTTCTTGCATCTGCTCGAAATGGCGGACAACGAGCCTATTTAGACTATTTCGTCTCGCTTCAATTTCTTTCTGTTCGCGTGGGAGTAGCACATTGCTCGATACGACACTATCGCTAGCGCCGATCATCTTTCGTGCCAGGGCCACAAGCTCTCGTTTCTCATTTGATTCCGGCCCATTCTCCTCATACTGCCTTGCAATGATCAGATACGGTTTCCAGAGATTCTTGAGAGCTGTAGCAATCTGCTTGTTCCACGCCATCGCTGCGGCATCCACATTATGTTTGAACCGACCGAGAAAATACGCCTTGCGGGCATAAGCTACACGAAGATAGTTGCGCAAAGTTATCGGATCTGGAATCTTAAGCTTGGCTAGCATAATTTGTAAAACCTCGGTGGCGTTGTCAAAGGCACCGGGGTTCCGCCTGTCTCGTAGGCAAGTGTTCATAGCTGTACGGAAGTTCTTAGCAAGGATAATTTCAGCAGGCATATCCCACAGATACATAACGGTTTGGCCACTGTTCTTCCCTTCACGTAGGGCCAGGAGCATGTGATGGTAGTTATTGGCATCGGGTACAACATGATGCTTTTCAGTGAAGTGATCCCAATATCGCCGCGCTCTTGCCGTCTTCCTGGTCTTCGCGAGGGAGGCAAGAATTAAAGAAAGAGAGTTGTTTCCTGGAAGTGCGTGGCTAACTTCAGGGGCGCCGGGGGCCTTGATTTTGCGGCCGTCAACCGAGGTAGCTGGCTTCGCGTCTATATCATTTCCGCTACGACCGGCCTCTTCCTTGGATTTCTCACGGATCGCGGCCATATCATCCTTTGGGATCATCATTGTTTGCTCGAGTAAATCTTCTATAGATGTGGCATCATGATAGTCACCCATTAACAGAATCCATCCCATGGCGCAGACTAATTCTTCATCGATAATAATAGAACCAGCCCTCCACTTCGATATGACTTCTTCCCATATGGCTCTGGATCGTTGAATTGTTTGCTCCTTTGCTCTTGTAATCTCGGGAGTATCGACCTCTTCGGCAGGACCGTACTGGCGCCTTTGAACCTTGCGTCGTAAGGCATTTAAGATGATTGTATATGTCAGGTTGTTTGGTGCTCTGATACCTTGGTTGGCGGTTTGAACGATAGTGAATAACGACTCGATATCTTCGGCATTTGCACAGACTTTGAGAACAGCGTTCAAATGGATCGTGTTGGGTGTTATGCGGTTATTAGTTAACATATTGTTGTAGATTCTAATGGCCTCCGATACGGCTAGTTTTGGATGAGCCGAGATGGCGCATCCATTGAATATAATCGTATACGTTTGAGCGTTTGGAAGTTGGCCAACCTTCTTCATCTCATTGTACAACTTGATTCCGGCATGAAGTCTACCTCTTTGCATTAAATAATCGATCAAGTGATTCCAACTGACCGTCACCGCTGTGTCCTTGCTGGCTTTTTTTGTGATCAGCATAGCATCATCAAAATTGCCTCTCGCCAACGTCTTCCTGACATAATCTTGAATGTGCAGCGGATCCTTTAGATACTGCAACTGTTTCTGGGCGGCCCATTCCTGTGGAGAGATGGCATGTTTTCTCCTCGCATCTTCCTGGTATGTGTCTTGCTGAGAAGCGTTGGCCGGCGCAGTGGTTGTTGTATATTTTCTATGTCGACGGGATAAAGCGGGCGTGTATATCGGTCGTACCGTCGCAAGGGTATTTTGCAGGCGGAACGTATGATTGATTAATGCAGAGAAAGCCTTTCTCGTACATGATTTGCAAGTAAACATAATTACTCGCTTTACAAGTGCCGTGAGGGCACTATGTGAGAAGAGCGGGCGTCTTAATGGACTTGGAACATAAAAAGTTGATGGTATGCGAAAAACAACTTAATTAGATGCGGGTTGTTATCCTTATCGATAATTAGGTTAAATTCCATACTGTGACGTCTACCTACATACATGTAGTACCCCGCCAGTACCCGAGTATCTAAGGTACGTACCTACATGTATGTAGCGAGGGGTTCATTACCTTAGGTAAGCTAAGATCCAGCCACTCAGCCACTCCGAACATTTGTAAATTAGTCTGACAAGGATTCGCGAAAACGCGTTTTATAAATGGTGGCTCGCGTCGCGTCTCTCCCTAAAGTGGAAAGATCCCTTAAAATTACCTAAGGCACATACCGTTAATTGATACCAAATGGATCCAGTTGATTTACTTCGTACCTCCACATTTAACACACATTTACACACAATACATACAGAATACAATACAAACAAACACTGTCTACACATTTCTTCCTCTTTCAATTTGGACATGATTTATTCCTTGTAGCATATATCTTACGCTCTGTCTTCCCCCCCCCCTTATCAAAATGTCCAAGTCGCTCAACAAGCGTAGCAAGCTTGCCGAGCTAAAAGCTCTGCGCGCTGCTGGTAAGAAGGCTTACGACTCTTACGAGGTACAAGAAGATCAAGATCTATACGAGGAAGTCGACGAAAATCAGTACAAAAAGATTGTTCGCGACCGTCTGAACCAAGATGACTTCGTCGTCGACGACAATGGCGAGGGTTACGCTGACGATGGAAGAGAGGAATGGGACCGAGTACATACATATGAATCTGAGAGTGAAGACGACACATTGCTAGGAGGGAAGCCTCGCAAGTCAGGTATTAAAGAACCAAAACCCATATGATCTATATTATTTATATACGCTTGTATACTTACACTATGCTAGATAAGAAGAAGCGCGATGAGGAAAAGGCAAAACGGGACGCTAATGACCGCGACATCAGCGAATATTTCATGAAGGGTCAGACCACTACCCAACAAAAACCCAAGGTATAACCTGATCTTTGGTCTGGATGTAATCGTACGGGACTGATTTTGGTTAGGTCGTAAAAACCGAAGACGATGAAAGGTTCTTGGCGGACCTACTAGGCGAGGTTGATGCAAACGTACCTGCTCCAGTATCGCGGGCCCCGAAGCGACATCGATCCCCCGAACGACGCCGAGCTCGTGCTCTATCGCCCGTCCGGGGAAATAGACAACCGGTCACAAAGAAGGCGAGACTAAGTGAGGAACGCTCATCGCCTGCGCCTCAGGCACAAGAAGTTTCCGTTGACGACGATGCATTCCTCCCAACTATGGACGATGACGATTTCCTGCCACCAGCGGATGACGTACTTATGAGTGACTCTGCTCCTGTTCCTTCGTCTCCTACTGCAAAGGTTGCCGCGCGAAAGGCCCAAATCAAGGTCGAGCCCGTGGAAGAAGAAGACGAAGATATGATGGAGGTTTCTCATGCTGGAACAATAAACGCCGCCAGCGTAAACTTATCTGCATCTCGACCTATCAAAAAGCTGGTCAAACCTGAGCCGTACCCTACGCCTGCTAGCTCGTCTCCAACGAAAGCTGCCGAGCCCGATATTGATTCATCATCGTGGAATGATCTCACAAATAAGCTGAATGTCGTCAGCAGCTCTCCCGCTGAAACTCGAAGCATCGGCAAAATTGATTATAAAGATGCTATCGAGGAGGACGGTAGTCTCAATATGTTCTGGACCGACTATACGGAAGTCAATGGCTCGCTCTGCTTATTCGGAAAAGTCTTGAACAAGAAAACGAATGCTTATGTGAGCTGCTTTATCAAGGTTGACAATATTTTGAGGAAGTTGTACTTTCTACCTCGCCAATATCGTCAAAAGAACGGACAGGATACAAGCGAAGAAATAGAAATGACGGATGTCTACTCGGAAGTAGACGATATCATGACTAAAATGAAAGTCGATATCCATAAGATAAAGCCCTCTACCAGGAAATATGCTTTTGAGCTCCCTGGCATCCCGAAGGAAGCGCAGTACCTAAAATTATTATATCCTTACACAAGTAAGTTTACTTGACGTCTCTTTTCTATGCGAACGTACACTAATATCGACTAGAGCCGCAAATCAACCCTGAGATAGTTGGCGAGACCTTCTCGCATGTTTTTGGTACCAATACCGCATTGTTTGAGCAGTTTGTGTTATGGAAGAACATCATGGGGCCATGTTGGCTCAAGATAAAAGATGCCGACTTCGGTGCTATCAAGAACGCTTCTCATGCCAAACTCGAGGTCCTTGTCAATGATCCTGATACGATCGCCCCCATGAGCGATTCCGATAACCTGGACGCACCTCCATTGACTCTCATGAGTATTGTTATGCGGACCGTTTCCAACGCCAAAGACAACAAGCAGGAGATACTTGCGATAAGCGCTCGTATCTATGAGAATGTCTTGCTTAGTGATACTACACCTGCCGAGAAGCTCCCTTCAAGGACGTTCACGTTGATGAGGCCGAATGGATCAGCATTTCCCCTTGGTTTCGATAAATTAGCGATGAGCAGGAAGAAAGCACTCGTGAAACTAGTGAAACAGGAGTCAGAGATACTGTCTTTCTTCTTAGCACAAATCGATCTTATCGATCCAGATGTAATTCTTGGTCACCAACTAGAAGGTGTCGACTATAGTATTCTGTTGAATCGATTACACGAGAAGAAGACACCCCAGTGGTCGCGGCTTGGGCGATTACGCAGAACAACATGGCCAACATCCATAGGGAAAACGGGTGGCAATGTATTTGCGGAACGCCAGCTTATGGCTGGTCGTCTCTTGTGTGACCTTGCCAATGATGCTGGCAAGTCTGTCATGTACAAGTGCCAGTCCTGGAGTTTGACAGAGATGTGCAGTCTCTACCTCGGTGGCGATGTCCATAGACGAGATTTCGATAACGAGGCTGCTCTGAAGACATGGGCATCGGACAAGTCAGGCTTAATGGACTACATAACTCATATGGAAGCAGATACATATTTCATCGCCGCGCTAGCCTTGGGTACGCAGATGCTGCCTTTGACGAAGGTCTTGACGAATTTAGCAGGAAATTCGTGGGCCCGAACTTTAACAGGAACTCGAGCCGAACGCAACGAGTACATTTTATTGCATGAATTCCATCGCAATAAGTATATTTGCCCTGACAAGCAGTTTTTCAAGGGACGGCCTAAAGCTGAAGAAGAGAACAATGAAGAGGAAGCTACAGATAGTAAAAAGAAGGATAAATACAAGGGTGGTCTTGTTTTCGAGCCAGAAAGGGGGCTATACGACAAATTCGTATTGGTTATGGATTTCAACTCCCTTTATCCTTCCATCATCCAGGAGTTCAACATCTGCTTTACAACAGTCGACCGGAGTTCACTTGTAAGTCTGCCTATTTTATATTAACATGGGTAATGTGCTAATGCTCGAGGTAGTCGGATGATGATGATGCTGTACCGGAGGTACCGACGCAACAGGAGCAAGGCATATTGCCAAGACTGATCGCCACTCTCGTTAGTCGACGACGGTCGGTCAAATCGCTCATGAAGGATAAGAACGCTACAACTGAGCAGCTTGCCACATGGGATATTAAACAGCTTGCTTTGAAGTTGACAGCCAATTCTATGTACGGTTGTCTAGGATACACCAAATCTCGCTTCTATGCAAGACCTCTTGCCATCCTTACGACCTACAAAGGCCGTGAGATCCTTCGAAGTACCAAAGAACTCGCCGAGTCGAAATCACTCCAAGTTATTTATGGTGATACCGATTCCGTCATGATCAACGCTAACGTGGAATCGGTCGCGGATGCACTCAAGGTTGGCCAGGAGTTCAAGAAGGCCGTTAACGAGCGATATCGCCTCTTGGAGATCGATATTGACAACGTATTTAGACGTATCTTGCTACAGGCCAAAAAGAAGTATGCGGCTATCAACCTCGTAGAAGTACCTGGTGGTAAGTATATCGAGAAGATGGAAGTTAAGGGTCTCGACATGAAACGCAGAGAATACTGTGCTCTGTCGAAGGAGATTTCGTCCCGTCTTCTTAACGAAATCCTATCTGGCGACGAGACCGAAGTCTCAGTCCAACGCATACACGAGTATCTACGCGAGGTCGCGGGCAAGATGCGAGAGTACGCTGTTCCCGTCCCGAAATACATCATCTATACACAGCTAGGCAAGGCGCCAAAGGAATATCCGAATGCGGATACGATGCCACAGGTCCAGGTTGCTCTTCGGGAAATGGCACGAGGCAAGCCTGTCCGTCGTGGAGACGTCATCTCGTACGTCGTTACCGGAGACAGTAAGTCAAGCGAGCCTGTTGCCAAGCGCGCGTACACGCCGCAAGATGTAATGAAGCCCGATTCCGGCCTCAAGGTGGACGTCGAGTGGTATATCGGCAAGCAGATATTCCCACCTGTTGAACGTCTCTGCGCCAATATTACCGGAACATCAACTTCCCAGCTCGCCGAGCAATTAGGTCTCGACATTCGCCGTTATACGAGCAACTCGACCTTCAATCAGTCAGGATCCAACGATCATGAAATCCACCCGCTAGAATCCCAGATCCCCGACGATGTCCGCTTCCGCGACTGTGCCCGCCTCTCACTACGCTGCCGGAAGTGCAAGGCCTCAGCGCCCTTCGAAGGCCTGCTGTCCTCAGAGCAATCCGAAAACCGCGTCACGCCACAAGGTGTCACGTGTCCGTCGTGTTCGGCGCTCATCCCCAACCTTAGCATCGTGGCACAGGTCGAGCGGGCGATCCGCAACGAGACGGCGCGATACTACGAGGCCTGGCTCGTGTGCGACGACGCATCGTGCGGCAACCGCACGCGCCAGATGTCGGTCTACGGCACGCGGTGTATGGGTCCGAAAGGCCTGGCGTCGGGTTGCCTCGGCCGCATGCGTTACGAGTACGGCGAGCGCGACATCTACAACCAGCTCGTCTACTTCGCGTCTCTATGGGACGTGGAGAAGGCCCGCGCCAAAGCAAGCTCCGGCGCCACCGGTCTAGGCGGGCAAGGTAACGCCGGCAGCTTGAATGCCGCCGAGAAAGAGAGGGTCCTCGCTCTTGCGGAACACAACCGCGTTCGCTTTGGCACGGTCAAGAGCGTCGTCGACAAGTACCTCGATAAGTGCGGTCGCCAGTGGGTGGCGATGGATACGCTGTTCGGGAAGCTAGGGTTCGCTGCTGTTTAGGCTGCCAAGGGGTAGTAAGTAAGTGAATAGGTCAGGTTAGGTACGTACGACGGAATGAGGCTTGTTCGGGGCTCTATAGGTACCTACATAATAGCGGCTGGCGTTCTGGTATGGGATCCGGTTTGGGTCCATGTGCTTGTTTTAGGTAGTCTAGTTGAATACTGCATGTAGCTAATGGTTTATAATGAATCAATCTAAATATCCTTCAGGATCTGCTTGTCTTTGTTGTGATTGGTTGGTTGATTGATTTCCCAGGATGAATAACAACAACTGGCTATCTGATGTAGAGCCAGCAAACTAAACCGTATGTATGTATGCACCACCACTTAAGAAATAGTGTGTATCCACGACAATATGTTAGTTATCTCTTGACTTGCTTGTTATTTTCTGCGAGGCGTCGATCAGTTTTTATTTACATATATACCAGCACCTTAAGAATCTGATAACTAGATTAATAGAATCGTAATTGTAGAGCACCCTTCCCATAACTACTGCTCAGGGGTAGACCCCTTCGGATCCTCCAATAATATTGTTACGGTCAGGAGTCACGTAGTCGTCTGGCTCGGCCAGTCACCTACATGACTCGGTACCTGCGTCAGGCATCATCTCAGATGTGTATATATTCAAGCCTTGCAGGCCTTTGAAAGGTGTTCTGGTTCCCGAGAACATTATCTTCTTATTGATTTTTTGGTCCCGTAATAAATATATACCTAACTTCACCATAGCGAAGAATTATAATCAAAGAAAAACGCAACACTGCATGTATTAATCAACTACCGAAGCTCTACGCAAAAATACCCTAAAGCTACCCTAAAGCTAAGAGTATATTCAAGTAACATTAAGCAAAATCACTTCTATCACGTCCAGGTCGAAAAAGCATAACAAGTTTACTCAGTATATCAATTTTTGCGGCTGTCACTGGCTTGCTGTCTAAAGATTAAGAATGGCGTCTAGGGAGGAGTAAGAAGACCGCTTCCCTCCCCCCTATATAATGTGTACTGTCCGCGTCCGTCAGGTACTCATTACGCCTCTACGTATGCCGTATCGACTGTCGTCATGCAGCCACAGCGCCGAGCAACCCTCTAGCAACCGTCCGCGACCCTCCCTCCTCCCTCACGCCCCTTTTCGCATGTCTCGCAAACGAAAGCACCCAGCAAGGAACAGCCAGTGGTCAACCGTGACCAAAAATTCCAAATGCAATCAAGAATACACAACCAATTCCGTTGGTTTCCGCCGTCTTGCCAGACCCCTAACGACCGGATCCGCGTTTGCGCAACCTAACCCCAAAAGTCGGTGGATAACCACGCTTTCGATGCCCTACTACCTCCTCGACCGGGCGCCCGTCGTCCATATCGCTTTCGTTTGTCTTCATTCGCTGCCCCTGGCGAGACGACCATCATTGCCGTAGTGCTAGAACGTGGCTCGTATGGTGAAAAGGAAAAAAAAAGATTCCTGTCAAACAACCCCCCATGATTGTTTCTTGCCAGTAGAGGCAGGAGAAATGTAATGAAACACAATTTTACGGGAAAGAAGTGAAGAAAGATCACGGGGGACGTCGTCTTTATGGTGACAGGTCGTGGGAGGGTAAAGTCTATTGGGCGCGAGGTATCATAATGTAAAGAAAACCTGAAACTTTTGGAGACACATTTTAGAAACCCCCGTAAATGCAACGCAATAAGCCGTGTCCTAGTCTATGCACAACGATGCAACCGTAAATGCAAGACGTTTCTATGGCCATAGAAAACGGAGTCTAACTGCTTCCCTTGGATGCAGCTGCGTTATCCGGAACCACCTTAGTGAGAGCAGGCGACGCCGCGGTAGATGGGGGCGATGCTGGATTCTCCGAGTCCATGTTGGCAAGTAGACTGGGCAGTCAAGTTAGCAATTTTATAACCCAATTTGACAGACGATGGAAACTTACCCAAACGAATTGGTGCTGCTTTGCGCCTCTCTTACCGGAGGAGTTCCAGTCCTGGAGGAGGCACCGGAATCCTCTGCTCCTCTACTTAGTGAACCACCAGGGCCCAAGCGACGGCCGCTATTGCTACGAGAGTTGAGCATCGACATAGGTCCCAGCGTGAGGTTGGAGCTTGAGGTACGGTTTGCACCACCCTTCAGACGACGCAGGTCGTCCATACCGACCTGATTTTGCGCCTGTTGCGCATAGCCAGAGAAGTTTCTAGCGTCACCACGGCCTAATTGTGCTCGTCCAGGGCCTCCACTGCCTCGTTGGTTGCTTCGTGCAGCCTCGGCAGCCTTCTGCGCTGCTGCCGCCTCAGCTTCAGCGCGAACTTCCTCAAGAGTCTTGGGGCCCTTGTTAGCTTCCTTGGACACCCAGTTGGCCTTTCTCAGATCGACAACGTCCATGAGCATGAACTTAAGACGACTAGGTAGATCGGGAAGGTCAATCATGCCCTGGATTCTACCAAAGTAAGCATCCATCATGACCCGACCCTTGTCCGTGGCATCCAAGTTAGCTCCGATAGTTCGCAGTAGCTTGGAAAGAGATTCAACCTCGGCGTCATCAGGAACGCCAGGGTGGTCAACCAATTTCTTAACACATTCGTGCATGATGCGCTCAGTGAGCATACCCAATTTGTACAGTTCACCGATGAACTGAACCAATCCAAGTCCGCGACGTTTGGCAGCTGCGGCAATGTAGTACTCGTCAGAGAGTAGAGCGGCCTCGTTCGCCTTTTTGTCCTGTCCTTCCTCCGGCTTCGGCAGCGAAACCTTCCATCCGCGTTCGAATTCTTCTTGACATCGGTTAAGGAGGTACTTTCGGAACAGTGCGCCACCACTAACGACCTGCCCAGTCCTGTCTTTTATGCTCTCGTCCCTGATGTCCGGGCTCATTGTTTCTAACATCCTCTTGCAGAATTTAGCATACATCGACGCCCAGTGGGCCTCGTCGGTAGCCTTCTCGAAAGTAAGCTGGATAACTTGACGCAGGGTTCTGCCGTCGGTCTCGTCCTTAGACTGTCCAGCAATCGTGAGGATCTGGTCCGAAATCTTGTCGAAATTCTCAGGCGTCATCTTGTTCAAAGCAGCCTTGACCTTACGTTGAACCATAGAAGGATCAAGCAGCGCGCCTTGTGCAACCTGGCCAGGGGCAGCAGGTTGTGCAGCTTTACCAATGCTACTTGGCTTCCAGCCGGTCGACGAAGTGGAGAGAGCTTCTATCTTCAGACCCTGGGTGAGAGGCATAGTCTTAGCCGCCTGAGCTTCCACCTTAGCATTGAAAGTGCCTCCTTGTTTGCTAGCATTCCGACGACTTCCCTGTCGTGGGGAATGAGGCATGCTCATGTTAGAACTAGACGGCTGTCGGCCCATTTGGTTACCACCAGGGAATGGTCCGCGGAAGCTACCGATGGCATTCATTGCTGGTCGTGACATCGACTTCTCGGAGCTCATTCCGAATCGCTGAGCGGATGTCGTTCCAGGAGGTAAGGTCCGGCCATCAGCGAAGAAGGAGCCGAAGGTTGTTGCACCGGGGGCCCCAGGCCTTGAAGGCTGTCGGCTAGATAGACCGGCTGGTGTTCGAGCAGACCCAGACCGGCCGCTGTCGCTATCGCCAATAAGGGTCTTGACTTGTTGGTGGAAATCAACGGAAGGCTGCTCCGTAAAGACCTTTTGGAATTGCATTAAAAAGGCGGAATCATACTTGAATGATGTTCCCTTCTTTGCCACCGCAGCATTCAAAGCAGGGTTAGGGGATTGGATTCCTGCGGGATAAAGATCGGCCCTGATGGAACTAGAACCCAGAAGCCTAGCTGTCTTAAGAGACTGAAGCGCAGCGCTAGGTTGAGCAGGCTCAACGGACTTGGTGTTAATAGGAGCAAGATTAAGGGCAGCCGGCTTAGGGCCACGTCCACCTTGCGTAGGTTTAGCACTCGCAGCAGCTGGAGGCTTCTCGTCGAGGGAAAGATTGGCCAATTTCGCAGTAGCATCGCTCGTCGAAGGTGCATCTGTCTTCTTTGTCTCGCCCCCAGCTAACTGCTGGATGAGGTCCTGGACAGATGCGTTGGAGTTTTCTTGAGCCCGCCGACGTTCTCGCTCCTCTTCGAGCCGTTCCATTTCAGCCTCGGCTTCACGAAGTTTACGATCATTCTCAGCAGCGTTCGCCAACCGTGCCTCTTCCTCGGCCTTCTTCTTGGCGGCTTTCTCGGCTTCGTATTTAACACGGCGCTCCTCTTCCTCCTTTTCGCGCTTGGCGTCCTCTTCTTCCATCTCACGGATAATACGTTCTAGCTCCTCATCATCGGGCTCGTCTGTAACCTTGGGAGGCTCCTCTTTCTTAGGAGCCGTCTTCGCCGCTTCACGTTCGGCCTTCTCCTTCTCCTCAGCTTCTTGTCGTGCCTTTGCCTCTTCAGCGGCCTTGGCCTCTTCCTGAGCCTTTTGCTCAGCCTTCAGGCGCTCTTCTTCTTTGGCCTTCTCGGCGGCCGCCTTGGCCGCTTCCTCCTCCTTGGCCTTGTCTGCACTGGCGGCCTGCTTCATCTTCTCCTTGAATTCATTCCGCACTTCTTCGGCCGTCTTGGAGTTGCTTACACTTTCGGCTCGCGAATGAGCAGGCGTAGCAGTTCTTGGCGTCGCTGATTTCGAAGGAGGCGGGGGGGTGGAAGAAACAACTGGTGGCGTCTTGGATTGTTGATGGCTCGGAGCGGGCGAAGCTGGTACTTTTATTTTGCTCAAGTCGACCGGCTCACCAGCTGCATTTTTGATCGTGATAGCCATGCTCTTTTTAGGCGGACGGTTGAATTGGGGGGAAGAGACTACTGCGGGTTTGATCTGCGCAGGTTGGGACTGAGGAGTGCCTTGGGCGACGAGCGGCGCCTGGTTTTGACCAGTACTCGATGCGGGTCGATGATCTATAGATACCTGTGAAGAGTTACGAGACATCGGTTGCCCTCCTGGGGCATTGTACGGGCCTGGGGTGAAAGGCGCCTGGTAAGCGGGTATGGGAGACTGGCCTCCGTGCATTATTGGATATACTGGGTATGAAGGGACGTGCATGCCTGGTCGGGGGTCATACTGGGGATAGTAGTTCTGTTGTTGTACGCTGGTTAGTAACCTGTCAAAATTGCCGCTCTCGGGTGACAAATCAATTCTTGCTGGATTTGGCGGGTATGAAGCAATGGGAAAAGGCTGTTGCAAGGGGATGACTGGGACTTCTCCAGTGTATGGCCCCTCTGCCTTATCAAACGGAGCAAT